TCTGACAAAACGGGGACATTAACAATGAATGAAATGCGTTTCAAGAAGATTCACCTAGGAACAGTGGCGTTCAGCAGCGATGCTTTTGAGGTATCTTTTGTTCTTTTTCGCTTTAATAAGAGATTGATATTAATACTTTACACATAGTAGAATTGAGGGATTATGAACAAAAGCGATTATGAATAAATTCATTTTTACGAAACATTTTCAGGATGTCTCTCGGCACGTGTTGTCAGCTTATTCTGGAAAGCTCGGTCGTCACTCGTTTTCTAGTAAGTTGCAGACGGCAGTAGAAGCGATTGCACTTTGTCACAATGTAACACCAACAGAAGAAAATGGACAGATTAGTTATCAGGCCGCTAGTCCTGATGAGGTTCTGTTTTTGATGTTCGGTGCAATCTCAGAGAATGAAGCTGTGTTTATATTAAGGAAGAATTTTGCAGGTTGCACTGGTTCGGTGGACCGAACAAGTAGGTGTTCGGCTTGCGCAGCGTGACCTTACTTCAGTGCAACTACAGCTTTCAAATGGTCAAACGAAAAGTTTCCAAATTCTTCATTTGTTTCCATTCACATCTGAAACAAAACGGATGGGAATCATCGTTAAGGTCTGTCATTGATCTGGTAATGGTTATAAACGTGAACATCATTTGAGACATGATAGAAGTGCAAGCATTTCTTCGTTTTATTAATAAGCATTGCATAAATATTTAGGATGAGACGAGTGATGAGATTAGTTTATTGATGAAAGGTGCAGATACGGTAATGGCTGGGATGGTGCAATATAACGACTGGTTGGAAGAGGAATGTAGCAACATGGCGAGAGAAGGTTCATTCTTGTTAGTAATATTCTATGGAATGATATTTTATTTACAAATTCTTTGCAGGATTGCGTACTTTGGTAGTTGCGAAAAAAGCTTTGTCAGTGGAACAGCTGATAGATTTCGAGAAGCACTATCATCAAGCCAAGATGACGGTGGTTGATCGAAGTGAGCATATGGCTGCAGTGCTGAGGCGATTGGAAACCGATTTGCAGTTAATTTGTTTAACTGGTGTCGAGGATAGATTACAAGTACCGATATATAATTTCTCATTTAGTGAATAGAACAGTATTCATTTAACGGTGCGAAGTGTAATAATCTCAATTTATGTTGCCGGTTCCTTTCAGTTGCTTGATTATGTTATTGGCCTATTTAATGATATTTGATTTTTGTTGACCCTATTTAATTTTTGTTTAGGTATTCCTTTTTTCTATGTCAAATAAATTATATGTAGCATATATATGTATGTTTGTTTAATAGCAATTTTAATGATCTGGGGAGAATTGTAGTTAACTTTTCCAACATTAAATTCGTTTTAGCATCTGACGCTACTGAGATTTTGATACTCACTGTAGCTCTAAAACACATGAATCGCATTAAAAAGAAAAAAAAAGGTCAGTAATCAACGTGGTCGAAGTCTTCTTTCGTCCAGTATATTGTGCCGATTTAAACTGACATCTTACAGTCTGGAAATGTGAGGAGTTGCACATACTTCATTGTTTTTATAAAGAATGTTTAGTTCATTTTCAGGATCAAGTGACGACGTCATTGGAACTACTTAGGAATGCGGGGATTAAAATCTGGATGTTGACTGGAGATAAACTGGAGACTGCAATTTGTATTGCGAAATCATCTGGACTCTTTTCCAAGACAGACAATGTCCACATATTCGGACAAGTACAAACTAGAATAGATGCTCATAATGAACTAAACGCCTTGAGAAGGTCTTTGATAGTCATTTAAATGGGATAATTAAAAAGGAAACTACTGTTGCATCTTCTTTCTTCTTCCTTTTATCAGTCGTTTGCAGGAAAAACGATGTGGCATTAGTTCTTTCTGGATCTGCTCTCAATGTGTGCTTGCAGTATTACGAAGCTGAGGTGGCGGAACTTGTACGTTCCTTCCCTTTTACTTTATTCCTGTTAGGTTTTTCAGTAGTTTGCAATCTTTTCGCAAAAAGAAGCTTCAGTACTGGGTGATCATCCTCTGAGAAATGTTATAGAATAGGAAAACAAAGAAGCTTGATTATCTTTCATTCATTTTTTATCGGAAGTATTCTTGTCGAGTATTGTGTAGTGAATGAGGTCAGCAGAGTTTTTATTTTGCACTTCTTAATGATTTCAGTTTGCAATATATATATATATATATATAAATATATGTGCTTGTTACATATATATTTCAAATAATTTCAGGTTTGTGGATGTACTGCTGTAGTGTGCTGCAGATGTTCACCAGAGCAGAAAGCTCAGCTCGTAAATTTGCTTCGGAAGTATCGTTCGCCTTTACGAGTGGCTGCTATTGGCGACGGTGGTAATGACGTGTCTATGATTCAAGCAGCACATGCAGGGATTGGAATTGACGCTCATGAAGGTTTCTGAATATTAAAACATCATTCACTTTTGCATAGAAATTAGGGAGGTTTGTTATGTTGGACTTCTACAACATATAAAGTTTATAACTTACATTTTTAAGAATATTTTCCATTTTCATTAAAAAGGTAAAAGTAAGTGCTGTATGAAAAATCATTTTAATTTCAATAAATGGTGTGAGACATCGTTTATTCACTGATTAATGTGATACAAAGATCTGCTTAACCAAAGAACAAGTGAACTATTCAAGGGACTGACTTCCAATAAAAATTTTTTCTATGGTAATGATAAAACATTTTTCAGAACGCAGTTATACAAATAGTATTAGCGGTCGTGTTATTATCAGTTGCGGGTTTCCTTTCCTTTCATCTTATGTTTTTCTTCTTTTTTAATTATAGATTACTTTTAGGAAAGCAAGCGTCATTGGCAGCCGACTTTTCTATTCCTCAATTTGCTCATATCTGCCGATTACTGCTTGTTCATGGCCGTTATTGTTATAAGCGTTCTTGTGCACTCTCTCAATTCGTCATGCATAGGGGTAAGTTTAAATACTGTTTGTAATCCTTACTTTTAACTTCTTAATACAGCAGTTTTTTCAGGTCTCATTATATCGATTATGCAAGCCATTTTTTCCTGTGTATTTTATTTTGCCTCTGTTTCATTGTATCAAGGCGTACTAATGGTTGCGTGAGTTCATTTTTTAATTTTGTAGTTTCACAATACCAATTCGATTCATTTACTCTTAAATGTTGGCTTTTTTTAGCAATCTTTCTATGAGTAAAATACTCCGCAACCCCCGAAGATGCTTTGGTGAATGTTTGTCACTCACATTTTCTAATGTTTTTGGTGCAAAATATAAATTTTTTCCACTGTTTGACACCGACGCTATTTGCAGATATTCGACTGTGTACACAATGTTACCAGTATTTTCCCTAGTGGTCGATCGAGATGTTACTGCTTTGAACGCTTTAACTTATCCCGAGCTCTATAAAGAGCTCGGTAAAGGACGTTCTCTTTCGTACAAGACTTTCTGTATATGGATTCTTATAAGCATTTATCAAGGTTAGATTTTTAAGGAAACGAAAATGTTCTGTTGTCAAAAAACTTTCACTACTCATTTATCGATATCTGAATAGTGATTTTTTAGGATCAGCAATCATGTATGGCGCCTTACTAGTATTCGATTCAGACTTCATTCACATTGTATCCATCAGTTTTACCGCATTAATCGTCACTGAACTGATTATGGTAGCACTTACCGTACATACTTGGCACTGGGCCATGCTCCTTGCTCAGGTTTATATATTTGCTTCCTTATCCTCAACACGATAGCGTACATACAAAACATATTTTAGTTCAATTTGTTCTTAGTTCGTTTTACTAAAGTGGAAAAAAACGGAACTGTCAATAACTGATTTTCAACTAATGATAACAAAAGAGGCTTTGGATTTTCTAATACTTGATTTTGAGATATGAATATTCATTTATTGACATATTGCTGTTTTCAGGCTCTTTCGCTAAGCTTGTATGCAGGGTCATTGTTCTTATTGGATAATTTCTTTGACCGTCAATTTGTTACGACGTGGATTTTTTTGTCAAAAACAACAGCTATAACGGCAATTTCATGTTTTCCGCTTTATATCATTAAAGCGCTTAGAAGACGATTTTCACCTCCATCTTATGCCAAAGTGAATTAATTTAAAGCGTTTTAGACCAACAAGTTCTCGATGTGCTACTTTAACAGATCTTTGTTTAACAAGTGTAAACTTTGAGTTCCATTTATCACGAGAAGAAAAAAAACTTTTTTACATTTAAAAGAATGCCTAAAAGAGGCATCAATTGATCGGCAGTTCCAGTATACGATAGTCATTCTCATCTCGTCATTGATGGAATACGTATATAGTATCATATGTCATCTACGATGGATGTGTATACAATGTATTGTGATATTTTTTTTCGTTATAAAACTTATCGTTTATTTATAGTTAATTTTGGGTTTGCTTAGGCCTGGATGGGTTGCATAGCAATTAAGGGAATCGAATTGTGAGTTAGGAATTCCATCTGCGCCTATCTCTGGTCCAGATAACCGTTGATAAATGTAGCTTTCATTCAATATCCAGGTGACTTATGCAATGCTCTCATTATTCAGTATTGAGAACAAATAATTTCAATGAACTATACACAGAATGATTGTTTAAGCAAGAAATGCTTCCATGTATGAATGCTCTCTGTAATTAAGAATGTCTTCACTGATATTAAGTAAATGTACTAATTGTTATTTTGTCGTGCTTTGTTGTGCTCTTCCAGATTAAAACATTGGATAACCTCGATATCTTTTTTCCCTGCTTTATTTGTTCTCAGTCATCCTGAGCCAAATATATAATATTTCCGAGGCCATGAGCGCCTGTGTAGTAGGTATTGTGGAGACTGCTCTAGGATTCATATACATTTACGGTACGTATTTATTGTTGAAGTTGTAATGATCTAGTATAGCTATGATGGAGTCTAAAATATGTACTGTAATGGATTCCATCAAGATTTTATGGTCAATTATGACGTCAGCTCACATAAGGCGATCCATTTCAGGACGTGGATGGCAGTACTAGCGGGTATCGGATATTTACTCATCGCATTCTCACCTTCAATTGTTATTTTCCGACGGGTAATTGCTAGTGATCCCTTGCGAATAATACTTTTTGTGTTGGGGTATGTTTTAAACGCTCGGTAGTCTTTCAGTTACATATATTTTCTTGATATCCATTCGTTTGGCTGACAACACCATGTGATATTAGACTTTGTATGAGAGAAGTTAATTCGTCTTAAATGCTGTTATCTTCTAACTTATAACATTATGTGGTGATTAGTAGTTTGTTTCGCTATAATCCAGCGAATGTTACCAGTATTTCTTTCATCCCATTCGATTTCAGTGCATTTTTTTGGCTCTTGTCATTACTACTATCAGCATGTGTATGGTTCGCAGTGGTACCCTTCAGAGAGCATCTGGTTTTTGCAATAGCTGTCTCTGTCGCATTACAGGAAGGAGCCAGATTTCTTCATTTCATCCTCTTGAAAAAGGCACAAAAGTGATAATTCATATAAAGACGATATTCACTAATTGTAATATCGTCAAATCATTTGATAATTGATTTGACTAATACTGCATCATTTTACATAGAAAAACCTTAGCATTTCTCCTGTATTTATAATCATTGTTCTGCTTAACACAAGTAATTTCCTTTCTTTTCCATTCTACATTTAGCAAATAAGCTAAACCATTTACCGCAAATTACTTCCGTAGTAGTCCCATTAAGTATTTGATGAAGATCGTTCTTCACATAATATGCTTCTTCAGAGGTCTGAACCATATGTCAGTTGCCGGCCAAAAAATAGCTGGTGTGCATACTCTGCGACACGCTCGTCATATCTTGGCCACTGTGTGTGGTTTAGGAATGGGCGTGATGGCAGCTTTGTTTCTCATTATCAATGTGATCGCTGACTTTTGGGGTCATGGTACTGTGGGTTTACCAGCTACTGTACCCTATGTATCGGATCGCTTCATGACCAAGCTCCTCCCCAATGACCAGCATTTCCCTGTAAGTTTTCTTTATCAAATTTGCCATCCACAAAAGTATAGACGTTCCCGAAGCGTTATGGATGCGGCAGATTTTTGTCTGAAGGTAATAGGGAAAGATTGGAAACTATTCCATTCTGAGAACATTTCACCATTTATTTCAATTGATATGATGAATCGTAAATTTGCAGATAACGTATTCTATATCAGCATGCATGGTCACATTATGTCATGTCTTCTGGACCGTGTTGTTCTGGGATGGATGTCATAAAAAAGGTACGACAAGTACCTGGTGGATGGGTATTTGTTTTGCTATCACCTCACACTACGCTATGTCTGCTCTGGTAATTATCCTTTGTTTTGTAAATGTTATATATTCTGTTTTTTGTATAATAATAAGGTCGGTAAAAAAAAAGTGAAAAATTGGTTGAATTGAATAAAAAGATGTCCCTCAGGGCAGAACTACTTTTTAATAATAGAAGTTATAGAGCTTCGGAAATCGAACGAAATATCAGATGGCGGTAATGTGCGTGCAGGGAGCCATAGTTGTGATAAATGGAGCGATCTCATTCTTGGTTATGGATGTCACTTGGACAATATTGAAACGCAAAACAAAATTAGCATTTTGCAGACTGCTATGCATAAGAGACTGCAGCTCGGAATCTATTGGTGCCTCTATTTCCAGATCTGAAAACTCTGCCAATGGTAGATGTGATACGCTCCATATTTCTACATAATCTGTATTCCATGTGTTCTCTGGATTTGGTTTTATTTACCAATTATTTCACCATTTATAATACCGTTCTGTCTGTCAACGAATTCAACATTTTCTCTTGAAGCAAAAGATTTTAGCTTCAAGGGACCATTACTCTTTATGCTCGCTCATTCTGTTTATATTGCCATGATGAATGAAAAGTGAAAGTGAGATCAATGAAAAACCATTCTTTGCTGCTACTATCATTCCTAAATATTTATGCCATTGTGGCGTATGTGAATCCTGCGTATGATCTCTTCTGATGCTTTATTTTGCTTTCTAAATAAAGCTGTATTTCCTTATATTAATTATCAAGTTGACATTAATCTCATGAGACAGTTAGTGAAACGCTTCCTAACAGTACCGTATAGAGAAGTATCAGGCACTCTGGCATATTTCCTCTGATCATTGTGTTGAGGAACTTCTTAGGGTTTCCTTAGGAACATATTCGTAATGATGGAAGGTTCAATGGCGAACCAGTGGATAACATAAATGAAATTTTAGGACTCAATATAGCAAAACTTTTCTGTGCACTGCTCTTAGCATCCACAGACTTTTGTTAAAGTATCAGTAGGAGCACTACATACATGACTTGGTCATGATTAGGCAATGATGCAGTGACTTGTGTGGGAAGGATGACGTGATACATCCGAAAAGCCTGATTCAGTTAAGTCAGTCATTAAAGCAACGGTGAATACTGAAATCAAAAAAAGACATACAACGTGATATGATACTCTTGATGCAGAAACATACCACTGTTTATTCAGGGACGGTTGGTACTGCAGCACTTATCATGAGTAAGCCACCGACGGCAGAATGTGCTGTTGTGTTTTCATAAGAAATAATCCCCATGTAATGCTAAATGCTAAAGGGTGAACTGTTTCCCTCAGCATTATTAGTAGAGAACTAAAAAATCTATGCAGTTTTCGACGGAAGCGGATATAATAAAAGCTTTGCCAGTCTTCAATTTCATGATTGCATCACTACCGGATTCCCAAGAATAGTTGTGCGATATTGAATACCACTTGCATAGGATATTCTTCAGACATTTCGTACTTCCCAAATAAGGGATATCATTAATGTTAAATCAAAAAAAGAAAATTCATGGATTAAAATATCATTGCGGATATATTATATCGAGTGGGTACTTACCGGAAGTGGAAATTTATGTTGACTCGTGTGGGCAAATGAAACAACAGTTCTTTCAGAATGCATAACGAGAAGTGAAGATTGATGGATAAGAAGTGAATCTTGGAGTTAATAGATAAGAAATACTGAATAAAAGCGATATTCCTCTGCAAGCGTCTAAACACAAAGAGAACCCCACAACTATACATCACCACATTCTCACTCATGATTTTCATTCCGATCAATACAAGTAATACATGTTGAAATATCGTCGTCATACATCGAAACAACAACAATTTTAGCAGACCTGTGATAAACCTGAGGTTTATGCAGGATCTGCTAAAATTTCTTCCAAATCGCTCCCTTACTCCATCCTAGGCTTGTGAAAAAGGATGGTTGAACAATTGTTAGTGATTAGATTAGAATATTTGTGAGACATTTTTTGAGACTCAGGGGACAGGAATGGAACAGAAAGAGGAAGAATATAGCGATTGTTTATTTTGGATGTTTATTTTGGAAGTAATCTAACATTGGCCAAGAAAAGATATGCGAAAACTGCTTGAGAAAAGATTGTTGCAAGTTATTAAAAAAAATAAGTTATCTGTTAGATCGGTGGGAGCATCTGATTATTGGATGTTATAGTATACACAGATACTGATGGATTTAGTGATAATAACAAGTAACCGGTTTATAAATTTGAATGGTGCATTTTAGCACTGAAAAATGGAAACGATATGTATGGAAGAAAAAAGTGGAAGAATTTTGTGCTGTGACTGTGGTGCTTCGATTGAACCAAATTCAATGAATATGTGCTTTGCATGCGTGCAGTCACGTATTGATATTACAGAAGGGATAACGAAACAGAGTAAAGTTTGTAATATCATCGAGAGATAATTTAAGCTGATGGTTGCTGGCGAATTTGCTAGAGCGTCATTTAGAAGGAAATACTACCCCTTATACATTTGTTTGTTATTTCTCTGGTTTTACACTTTATTGCTTTCTGTATATTCCTTCAGGTCGAGCTTTCATGTGTAAATTCTGCAATCGATGGTTGATACCACCGAATGGATGGGTTCATGCACAACGAGAATCCAAGGAAATGCTTGCCATATTGTTGAAAAAACTAAGGCCCACAATGACGAAGGTAGCGCTTATGCTATTGAATCAAAATCCATTACGTTAGCTTCAGGTAAGAGCATTCATAAAATACATTATTTAGGTACGCCTCACCGACGCCTCCTTTGTATGGACAGAACCACATTCAAAAAGAGTGAAACTTAAGCTGACTGTCCAAAGAGAAGTATTGACAGGCGCAGTCCTTCAACAAATTTTCATTGTGGAATTTATTATCGTAAATCAGGTATGCCCTTATAGATAGTTAGTCTTTCTTTCATTATCAGAGCAATGTAGTAATCCCTGTCTTCTTTTTTCTTTTGTATGCTTCTACATTTCTTTATGAATTTCAAAACTACCGTCATATATATGGGATTATGATAAGAGTGAAATGGCGGATATATATTATAATGTGTACTGTTAATGGTAAGGATTATCTATCGTCTTGTTTACTAGATGTGTGATGACTGTCGACGTGCGGAAGCAAAAGATTTTTGGCGTGCTTGTGTTCAAGTTCGTCAGAAATGTGAATTTAAGAAGACGTTGTTTTATCTCGAACAACTAATCCTGAAGCACGATGCCCATCTCAACACGACGGCTATCAAACCTGTACCTACAGGAGTCGATTTCTTTTATGCAAAATTGCAAGATGCCAGAAAGTTCGTTGATTTCATCACCACTCATTTGCCGTGTAGACATTCATACGCCCAGGTATGAGCATTGTGCTTTTTTTTCTAAATTTTTCTTAGTTTTAGTTTTAAAGTTTTGGTTTTGATTCTGCTTTGAAAATTTGAATTTTTTTATGGTTCTTGCATTTGACGAAGAAGAAAGCAAAGTGGATGTCAAGGTTTTCTTATCTATTCGGTCGGGCTGTGAATAATTGCTAATATTACTATTTTCTGAATAGCAGTATGAGTTATAGCAACTTGTCCTAAATAGTCGTGATGTAATGCTTGTATTACCGGTCAGGAAATGGTAATGATGTAAAATATATAAGGTATATTTTTTGATGTAAAATATACAAGGTGAGGTAGTATTCATATTATTTGCATTGCAGGAACTGGTTACACATGATGCTAAGAATAATACTTATGACTATAAACACACTTTCTGCGTAGAGGTCGTACCCATATGTCGCTCTGATTTAGTATGTTTACCGAAGAAGATAGCACAGGCTTTGGGTAATATGAATCAGCTGGTTGTATGCGTCAGAGTTAACAATGTCATCAGTGTGATTGATCCGAGCACTTTGAAAATAGCAGATATCAATGCGTTAGTCAAACGCTTCTTTTTATTGACAATATATTTCTTCACAAGCGATAAGCGTTGCACTGATAAAAACATTAATACAAAATTGAGATTCTTTAGATTATATGATTTTCAAGCAGAGATTTTTTGGGAACGTAGTCATTTTTTAGGACTCAGTACTGGCGTAGTCCCTTTCAAACTTTATGCCAATCAAAACGATTGCGGGAATTTTACGTAGTGGATGTAGAGGATACTGATTTTAATCAGTTGACTGCAGGATATAGTCATTTGTCGACGAAACACCGTTTAGCGGACATCTGGGTAATCCCTAGTAATCAGGTATGTGAGACTTTGTATTCATTATGTTACAGCTTTCCTTTTATTTTACAACCGATTTTTTTTATTTTACAAGCTTATCGTAACATTACTGATTGGTTGTAAAATGTTTTAACGACTCTAGTAACTTAAAATGCTTTATGTTGTTCATCATATCAATGCTCTTGAAATTGTTTATTTACAGATTGGACAAGATAATCAAGAGGTTTGCACGAGATCTCATCTTGGACATTTGTTAAGGCCGGGCGATCTTGTGTTAGGTAAAATAGCTTTCGGTCTTTTTCCTCTTAGCCTTTTATATCCAACTTTGCTTGTTTTTTCCCTACATTATTTTCAAAAAAATAAAGTTTCTCAATTGAAGGATATGACTTACGCAATAGCAATGTGAACAGTACATTGCTGGACAATATGGAGACGGATAAGATACCTGATATCATCTTAATTCGAAAAGTTTATAATCGGTTTGTACGACGAGAACGGCGTAACTGGAAAGTGAAGCGACTAATTCAAAACGACAATGATGTTTGTGATAGCTCTTCTGTGGGTAACGAATTCGAGGTACACGCCTTTTTCTATCAGAAGGAATTAGATTTGCTGTAAAGTATCGCGAAAATGAGAGCTCACTGTTCAAAAAAATAATCGGCGGTGTTGCAGAACTTTCTAGAAGATTTGGAGGAGGATGAACAAATGAGACAGAAAATCAACATTTATCGGGACAATGCAAAACAACAAGCAGCTTGTTCTAAAGATATCGCGTTAGATTTGCCACCGGGTCCTTTACTCCATGAAATGTTGGATGATCTTGATCTTAATGCCGATATTGAAATGAATTAACGAAGTTTAGCTCGTCTTTCTGCTTTTCATACGTGTTTGCTGTATTGATTGTGAAATGCTTTGATACATTTCTTTTTATAGGGTACCTCTTAAGTGGTTCAAGGGCCGCATTTACAACACCTCATATTGGGTATTCTACAGCTTCTTTGCTATGTGTGGTATGCCTTGCATTTTCCCGACAGATTTGTTGAGATTCCCAAAGTGTCTAAAGGAAAAACCACACATGAGGTTGCAGAAATGTGTAATTATTGTTATTGCATTATCTCCTATTGATGCTCACTGAGATGTTGATCCATCACAATAAATCAACTAGTTACTAGTGCCCATGTATCTCTTTTATGTCACTGATCGTTCCGCATATCGATACATCTCTATGAGAATTGGGAAGTAATTCAATTCATATTATTCAATTCATATTATGTGATGGTAAATATTTCTCATGATATGCATAGTTAAGTCAAAATGCTGTAGTCTTTATGACTGCTATGGAAATGCTTTACAAAAAGATAGTAAATGAAGTCATAAGAACCATTGGAAAGATTGTGTTGATTGTGCAAACTGAAGTACTTGAAAGTATCTAGGATTGTAAATACAGAAACTCCAACTTCATGTATAATTTTGGGCATGAAGCCTCTTGTGTAATTACATTCTTTAAGAGTCTCTAATGGAACTGATTATGCCGAGGAAAGTTCTTCAGTTGAGTGGAAGATATCCAAAATAAGATGAGTACAAAGCTGTAGAAAGGAATAGTGGGAGAACTAGGCTCAACAGCTTTTTATCACTGCTGGAGCTATTTTCAGTGGAAGTAATTTAAAAAGTCATGAATTTAATGCATTGGCCCATGTAAATATCTAGAAATATCTACAAATATCTATGAATAACTAGTATTTTTAGATCCTAGGGTCAGTATAGGATTTGGATGAAATTGTAATAAAAAACAACAAAGTCTAATAACTAGCGTGTAGTGTAAAAGCTGACGGCCGGTCTGTTGCAGGAGCAGTACCGACGGACCGTGCCTGGTTATCGATGGTTCTGAGACCGGATTGGTTGCAGCATTAAATGGATCTTCTTTGACTAAATTAGCTCATCATTTTTTTAGATGACTTAGCTGTGATCGCTGTGTATTTGGCTGACTCTTGTATTGCTAATTATTTTCGTCCTTATCAGATGTCTAATGATGTTATTCTGAAGCTTTCTATAGAATTTATGGATGAAAAATCAAGCCCAGAAGAAACTGGTCAATTAGTTTACGAAGTGAGGGTATTTTCTTTAAAAGTTTTCTTATTTCAATTATGCCATTTTTACTACCTCAAAATCACTTTGTTACAAGTTCTAAAGAAGCTCTATTTATCGTGCTCTTTATCCTACAATTTTTATCAAAAATTCTGAAGCAAAAAACTTCATGCATTAGAATTATGACTCTAACCGATTTGTCACATTATGAAGAGTCGGGAAGGAGTTCTTTTTAAATCTGTGAAGCGAGTTTCAAGTTTTCAAGTCATCTTTCAGGCTGTAGTATATGAGAACGAAGAACTCCTACGAGAACTATTGGAAGCCAATCCAGGAAAGATATATTATAGAGACAAACATGGTAGAAGTGCTCTGCACATTGCTGCACAAAATGGGAGTATATCTATCTTGGACCTTCTGATAGAAGCTGGAGGTTTTCTTCAATTATTAATTATTATTAAGACAGTCACTGCTAGTTTGCAGCTCTCATTTGATTCTCTTCTTAGAGATTCAAAAAGATGTATTCCATTCTGTAGTGGTATTTCAGTTTGAATATTTGTTCTTTTCAATTATTTGTAGCGGACGTAAACAGCATGGCTGGTCCGAGTGCACTCTGTGCCACTCCTTTACATGTTGCTGCAGTTGCGGGACGTTTAGAAGCGGTGCAACATCTAATTGAAGCTGGAGCAGAGCTTTTGGCTACGGATCTTAAAGACCACTGTGCATTAGAACTGGCGCAGATGGCGAATCAGTTCGAAACTGCTTGTCTTCTCATCGATGCGATCGGTTTGCTTGCTTAAATTTATTGTGATGTTTGAGGTTTGATCACCTCTAATGTTTGTTAAATTCACGTTAGGTTTAGGTAAATGTAAAAAGAAATTGAAGAATATGATATTAGCCTTTCTTTGAAAACTAGTTGACGCTTCTTTCAAGTTTTAATTTGGAACACTAGCTTTTGATTTTTGAGCGTAATAATTAATTCTAGAAAAAATTACTAAGAATGTTTCTTAGACAACTATAAGGATATTTACTTTTCACCTGACAGAATTTTTAACCAAAAAGATTTAATTTTATGTTTAGTTATCTCTGTAAAATTGTCTCAGTTTGAGTGAAAGTCGTAGGGATCTTGTGCTCCTTCATCTTTTTTTTCTATGATCTTTTTTCTTTAGAATCGGTTCGCAATAAAACTCGTCAGCTGCACGATGATTTGGTCAAATCTGCGGAAGAAGGAGATGTTAGATCTGTTATAGAAGCTTTGCCGAATCTTACTAGCACCAATTATGATGCCGTCCTGAATGGTGCGACTTTGGATCGAAAATGTGTTCTGTATCTGTATGTTTCTTCTTCCTTATTGCCATTCTACACTTTGATTACATATCGTTGAGTCGAGAAGATAATTCTTTACTAGAATAATTCTTTAATTGCGTCATTCTTTATTTTTTACTTCTATTAAAATTTTACTCGTAAACTGTGAATTAAGTTGCGTAATAAATTGTGCACAATAATGGGATGTCTTCCCCTTAAAATGAGGCCGAGTTTTACTGGGAGTTTTGTTATTCTAGTGTGAGATATATCGAAAGTAAAATAAAGAATTGACGCAATCTTGCAAGACAAAATACAGCGCACTTTTATTTCTCTTTCGTCAAAGACATTAAGTTTTTTGAAGCTTAAAAATTTATGCTTTGGGACCTGAGTTATGGCTTCCTTACATTTTAGTAGGATGTTCCCTAAATCACAGATTAACACTGTTTTGTTACCTCCACTTGTCTTATGACTCATTTTGAACTCGGAAAAAAATCACTGTAATTCAGCTTTTCTCTAACATAATTTCTGAGCATGAAATCAACAGCGTGTGGACTTGGGTCACACAAATGAGGCTCTAGTATATGTTCGATGTTTTTTTCCAAATAGAAATATTTGTAAACTAAAAAAAATCGCTCAAGAAATGGTGAAAGCCATAATTACTTTGTAAAACTTTTGAATTTCCATAAAAATGAGAAAATTAATGATTATTTGAATTATATAATTTTTTGAATATAAATAATGTTTTCTAAGGTAGTGTTAAATTTTTTCATAATGTGAATTAATCTTTAGAGCTTGCTTGAATGGAAGGAAAAAGGTTGTTGAGGCTTTATTGAACGTTCGGGGTCACACACTTATACAGCCATGTACTCACGACACAGTATTGCATGCTGCCATATCATCCCAAAAAGCAGTCATCGTAGAAATGATTCTTAAGGTATATCTTTGTAATTTTCGTATCTTAAGACAGTTCGTTTGTTCTGTTACTGAAAAATATAAATATTTTTAGGCATTCACACATTTGGTGACTACAAAGAATGCAAACGGTAGCACAGCACTCCATTGCGCATCGCAGTGTGGCAGTTTAGATATCGTTAAGCTGTGCGTTTTTTTCCATTTTTGTATTGAAAAATCGTCAGCAAATTGGCATTTTACTGTTATGTCTCTAATGTTAATGATTTATTAATATTGAGTATATCAAGAGGAAAGGTATATCAATCTATCTTTTAATTAAATTTTGAGTTGTTGTAGTAATTTAAGATTTTGTCAAAGAAAGCCATAAAAGAGTTGGGAAAGTAAATACGATTTGTAAACTTTATATGTGTTCTTTTTTTTATCATCAGTTAAATGTTGTTTTTTTTTTAATTTTCTCAGGTTGCTGGAATTTCCATACGAGGAGGATGTTCTCACAAAAATTGAGGATGTTTCTGGACGTTTCAGTTATCGCTTTGTGTTAGACGTTAACGGATTGGACGCACAGTGTCGTACCGCTCTATACCTAGCCGTCGCTAATTCGTATTATGATGTTGTCAAATATTTACTTGAGGTTAGTATGATACTACGGATAGTGTATGTATGACATGCATATGTGTTAGGTAGAATTACCAAAAAACTTCGCGATGAGGCTGGATATGCCATGAAATTTATATTGTTTTAGTGCTCCGATATTTAGTTCGCTGATTATTTCTTCAGGTAGAATTTCCATCGGTGGATGTTGGTCAAATATGCCCATTCGAAATTGATGTATACTGCAGTGGTGGAAAGACTCCGCTTATGGTGGCCGCAGCAAATGGTGACATAGCTTTAGTGAAGTATATATTCCATTTGTTGCATTTCATAGATTTTGGTTTTTGAAGTACAATTTATTTGCTAATATCCCAAAATTTGTTCAGTGATTACAATAAAAGGGGCTTCTACTTCAAGGTAATGACAGTCTTTGGTATTCTAAACACAAGTGTAGCTTTTATAATTTTCAATGCCCTTTTATTGAGTTCCCACCTGCCATTGCCACTGTTTAGAGTAAGATTACTAGATTCATTTAAGCTTAAGTTTACCACACTTTTCAGGTTAGTTTGGCATTAATTAACGTTCAAGACCTATGCACGGTCTCTTTCATGTGCACGTATTATATTAGAAAATTTCCCTTGAAATATTGTTATTTTATAACAACGGGCATCGCAATAGATTTGTGATATCTGTATTAGATGCCCGTTGCTATAAAATGTCCACCCTTGCCTTTCAGAGTCGCAGATTTCTTTCAGGTATTTTATCCTTGGATGTAACGAAGACTTACGCTGTGTTCCCAATAGACAATATATATGCTGTGAAATGAAATTCAGTACGGTGTAATCAGCAGTACTAACGTTCTGATTCTACTGTTTACTGAATCCAGAAAATTGGAACTGTATAAGTTATTAAGAGTTTTCAGACTGCTAGTGGATCATGGCGCAGACGTAAACTTACCTTGCGGACTCACAGATGCAGACATCAGTAGTGTAGATGGTGCTCGATGTATTGGTTCTGGTGCTCTCAATGAAGCGTGTCGAATTGGTTGTATCTCTTTAGTGCAGCTTCTGTTCCAACGAGGGGCTGTTGACCATGAAAATGTTGCTCTCGCTACAGCCTTCAAAGTATAGTTTTCTTATCTTTTCTCCTGAGAATTTTTTTTCTTCATGTTTCATTTCAGTACAATCAGGATTCGTTGGCGAGATTATTCCTGTTACGTCTTGCATTTGTGGATCCAGAATACCGTGTCAATAAGAAGAATATAGATTTAGGACAAGTGTCAATAAATCGTAGCCAGTTATCTTCAGCTGTGTATCCCACAACGCCATGCATGCTTAACTGGCATAACGCAAATTTAGAGAGTGTTTCGAACGATTGGCTTATTGCCGCAGCTCTTCAGGTGAATCAGAGGTTGAGGACATCACGGTAAGATTTTATCGGCAAATACAGTTATCATTGACTCCATTGAATAATGAAATCTTTTTTATTTAATGAAGCATATTTCCATTTTACTTGAAAATTCTGTAAATGAGAAGAAATCATAATTGAATACATTGTTATCAAATTTGCAGAATGGCGTTAGCAGCTCTTACACGGATCGATTTATCGAAGAATAAGATGAAAGTGTTAAGTGGACAGCTATTGCAGCTACCTTCCTTAAGAAGTCTAAATGCAGCGAATAACGAAATTACAGAAATTGAGATACCAAGTGATGGGTTTCATGCGCCACTTTTGGAAAGCTTGTTACTGGAATTTAACAAGCTGTCTGTTCTACCAGAAGAAGTACGCTTTCTTGACTGATAAGTTTGTTTATTATTTGATAATCTTGTTTCTTTATTTTTGTAGAATTGTGTATTTGCTGAGCAGATACGGGTGACAATGTTTTTGAATTTGTTTAGAAAAAAGAGGCAATTTTAAAATATTTTTCTCTTTTTTTTGGGGAAGTAGCGAAGAAGATTATGTTCTTTTTTTTCATTTTCAGTTATTTACAAGCAGACTGCCAATGCTAAATTTCCTGGATGTGTCCTATAACAAACTGTATTTTCTTCCGGAGACTTTATGGTTTGCACCAAGATTGCGAGAACTGAATGTGTCCAACAATGTCCTTTCCATGTTGCCGGCAGTTGGCTCTTTTCAGTTTCGACCTTCCAGCAGTCTTTCCGAAATCGAGCGGCCAGAATCGCTCTATTCGGATTTGTGTACTTATCAAAGCACTTTATCAACGGATGACTCCTTGAGTATTAGCGGACGCAATGATGACACCAATATTACTGTTCATGAACTGAAAAGGTCGTTCGAAGATAGATTTTTTTGCATTCTGCTGAGAATTGGGTCAAATTTAACGAATTTGTGATGTTGTCTGATCCATCAAGTATCTAGATGCTTTTTGTTTACCTCCAGGCACAATATATGGCAGACAAGCATACGGCTGGCTCGATCGGATGAATCAGATGCCGAGAGTGGATCTATATCTTTCTCTTCTACGATTTCTGTTTTTAATATGTCGCACAATAATGTATGTGTTTTACAATCGCTCCCGGCTTATTTGACGTTAACTTCACTCTCAACTTCAATAATTCTTTAGATTATCCAAAGGAAAATTTATTGTAATTATGAGGTAAGTGCAAATATCAGCATTAGTTGTTGGCTTTTTAGAGTTTAGCAAAGAATAACTTACATATAGGTTAAAGTGATGCCATCGTGCTTGGCGTGTTGTTGTCCATATTTAACCAGACTCAATATATCGCACAACCAGCTAACATCTCTTGGTCCAGTGCAATGTTTACCTTCTCGGCTGAGACATTTAGATGTCTCTAACAATCATCTTATTACTGCTTTCGAGTGTCCAAATGCTGTGCAGTTGGTGTGTCATGCGACGAACGTGCTGTCAAATGAAGTTTCACCAATGAGGCGTGAAAGTCCTCTGCGTAACTCACGTAAGTTTTATGATCTTTTGGGATGCTTTTCTGATAAAATCTGTTGATACATTTTTCTTGCGAGTCATGAGTGGAATTAAATTTTGTTTATTTTCGATCTCTGTTACTCACTAGTTCGAGTATTCCTGGTCTGGTCTATTTTCACCTGCTATCAAGGTTCAGCTCTCCCTAAAACTTGCTTTCCATGCTATGTTCTCGTTTTATTTTCATTTTAGGATCTCGTTCAAAATCAGCAGTTCGTAGTCAACGTTCGTTAAGCGTTGCACCGGTTGGCGATACATTATGTGATACATTAATCAACGCTTGTCCTCACAAGCAGCATACAAGACTAGAATCGTTGCGCACATTTCTGGTGGCTAATAATCGTCTTACGGAAATTCCTCTTCTTGTTCCCACTTTGAAGACCATTTCATCTTCAAAAAAGAAACAGCGTGAAAGCCGACAGAGATGTTCTGCGGTAGAGTTTGTTTTTTATATATTAGTTGATGCAGAATGGTTAGACGTATTGCTGATGTTCCTCTGAATAGACGAAAGGGAAAAGTGGAAATGAATAGCAATTTTCATTCATTTCAACTTTTTATAGGCTAGAAGACAAATATTGTTTCCTGCTCTTACAACCCTAGATGTGAGCAATAATTTCGTGTCAAATGTTCCTGCAGCGCTGTCCAACTTAATGTCTTTGTGTGTGTTGAACTTGAGTGGAAACAGTGGCATTGAAATTCTGCCTCCAGAGTTGGGCCTTCTTAGTAAGCTTCATCTTTTTTATGTACCACTTTCTCTGAATCTCGCATATGAGTTATTACATAGAAAATCTCACTTTAGGTAAACTTTGGAATCTTATTCTGAAAGGTTGTTCATTGCGAGATCCGCTAAAGAGCATGGTGCATATGGAAAACTACAAAACTGTTAATTTGATTGCATATCTGAAATCTATTTTGGAGGAGTATGTCGCTTTCATTAACAATATCTTTGAAAATAGTTTTTGCAGTTCCTGTTTGTCTTTTAGTTGTTTTATAGTTTCGAATATTGGGCAAGCAGTAATATGCTTATTGCAGTTCTCGTCCATATACACGGCTTAAATTGATGATCGTTGGAGTGCAAGGAATTGGAAAAACCTCACTTTTACAGCAAATTCGTCTAGAGGGTACGGTGGGCAAAAGGACATCACCAAACGATGTAGCTATTTTGCGGTGCTATTGCTTGTTTTCTGCATTCTGTTTTATTTTCATTTAATTCTAAAACTTTCTGAACTTGTGTGCTATGATATTGATCCTGCGTTAATATTTTTTTCGCATTCTAATTTGCTTATTTTCGCCACTTATGTAAAATTCTCCGAAAATAAATTCAGGAAATTTGCTTTAGATCTGGTCAAAAAGAATGGGACACAGTACAGGCAGCGGCGGAGATCGTACTGCAAAGGGCGTCAATATTTCGACAGTGGGTGTTGACATCGCTGAATGGACCTTTGAGCCAAAAAAGACGAAAGGTTAGAAGATAGAATAGCAGAAGCTTGTGATTATCGTAGCATATGGTGTACTAATTTCGGAAATGTTGTCCAATGCATTTCCTTGAATAAGGCAGACAAAAGATGAAAAACTTTTTTGTTTCATCTGCCTCATAATATTTGTTGGTGTATTGCTTCTTTTTTCCAATATACTTCCTTTTATAATTTAGTTTCTAATCAGGATTTTTCAGGTGAATCTACTTTTGGTCCACTTACATTTCGTACATGGGATTTCGGTGGACAAAGAGAATACTATGCAACTCATCAGTACTTCTTATCTCGTCGTTCTTTGTATGTGTTAGTGTGGAAGGTAACTGATGGTGAAGCAGCATTACCAGATCTGCGTCAGTGGCTCGTCAATATACAGGTCAGAAATTTGAACTTTATACTTCATTTCTCCTTGGCAGTAATTTCAGTTTCGGCGTACTATTTACGATATGGTGGTAATAGTTCAGTTTTAACTTTCACCGTGTTTCCATCATTTTACTTTTGTTATCTAATACTTCTCAAATATCGTTTCGTGTTTGCAGGCGCGCGCACCAAATTCTCCAGTAATCATCGTTGGTACTCACGTTGACCAAATCTTTTCGAATCCTGATCATTTTCCATCTACTTATCTGGACGATCTAAATGCAATCATCAAGGGTTTGACACCATGTTTTTTATCAAGCGCTACTAGGAAACCTGCAATAAATTTTAACATAAACTGAAAGTATGTGCGACAAAATTTTTTAGTTTGTTTCATTTTTATTTAATTTACATATGAAACAGGTTGAATCAGTTATGTGGCTCCAGCTCTCATCATCTGGATATTCCCATATTGCATTGTATAATTTTTTCATCATGAATTTAGAAGGATAAAATTACAGATCATTTTGTAATGGTGCCTGATGCAGACAAAAAAGGTCTTCCACGTGTCGTTGATTCACTGTTTATCTCTTCAAAAACGAAACAGAATATTCGTATGCTTTGTAATTTGCTTTATCGAACAGCTTTTGATATTCGAACAGCAAATAGCAAAGAGCGACTCCTAGATCAGAAGATTCCAGCTTCTTATTTGGCATTGGAAAAAGTGACTTTTACGTATTTATATGATGTCAACTTTTTCATCATTTCTTTCTGATGTGTAGCTTTCTCGATGTGTAGCTCTTTTCTTATATAGCGTTTGGGAAATTAATTGCTGAACCAGATGATAATTTTTCAAGTTATTCTTTCATTTCTAATTTTTTATTCATTCCGCTATATGTTTCTATGTTTCATATATGCTATATATTTCTCAATATTCACTGTTATTGTTTATCAGATAGTGATTGAACTAGCAGATGAACGACGTTCGGTAGGAATGGAGCCGGTTATGAGGAGCGGTGATTTTCGCACTACTGTCCAAGAACGGATGTTGAAAAATTACGGTCGTGCATTCCGTGATGACGTCGAATTTAACCACGCCTGCTCATTTCTTCATGAGAATGGTTAGCTTTCTGTTTTGGAGCATTTAATTTTCTATTCGAAAAAGGAAACAACAAGAATTATGTTGCTACTAAAATAAAATAGTGCTTCAAATAAATTCAGCAAGTGAATAGAACTAATATGTGAATAAACAAATGTCTTGCTAAGCTTGACAATAATATAAGAAAATGTGACTAAGCTCAGTAAAGCGTTAATGGTTATTGTAGGAGTAATACTGCATTATGAGGATGTGACTCTCAGGGAGTTATATTTTTTGGATCCGCAGTGGCTGTGTGACATCCTTGCCCGTGTAATAACAATCCGAGAAATAAATCCGTTCGCCCGCAATGGACTTATGAAAATCGACGATCTCCAAGTGTTGTTCAAGTCACTCAACTTGAGCAATTCCGCTATCAACTTAAGGTAATTAGAACTCAGTTCTTCTGATTTCCATCTACATCTTGCTGTCACTTTGCAGGTCGCATATTATATCCTTACTGCAGAAGTTTGAGGTTGCACTATGTTGGCAGTCGCGTTCACTGCTGATCCCTTCTTTGTTACCGGATGAATATCAGTTAAGGGGTGGTTATCCGAGTTCAAAAGTTATGGTTAGTTTCACACGTCGGCTGATTCTTCTAATATAACCACTGGACGATTTGCCGGATAGGTTCTGTTATAATTTCGTTTACTAGTGGGGTTTTCTAAGTTGGTACATGTTGATCTTGTGGAAAAGCACTGATTGAAGGCAAAATAGTTTTTTCGTTTATGAATGAAATAAATAATTTAGCGCTTTCCTTGTCGTTGCCCTTCTGCATTTTAGACCAATCTTTAAAGCATCCTAAAAAGTGCATAGATAGAATAAGTTTCATATATATATAGCTTTCAGTTGAACATTGCATTGATGTAAAGACCATAACTCAATAAGTAATCTTGAATGAATAATAATTGAGATCATAATTTTATAATTTTAGATCAAAAGGTAGAAATAAGCAAAAGCAGAAAGCTTACAGGTTCCAACAAGGGCTACGTCGTGGCAATTGGCAGTCGACCAGCGAGAAACGAAAAGGATTTTTACAACGAGACTACCACATCTACAAGCATTGATTTCTCAACGAAATTTGGGTGGTACACGGTATCGAACAACAGTACAATTGAGTACTCTTTCGGATGGTCGCAAGAAATCTCCAACACTAGTTTCAATTGGTTGCGATGAATCTGATGGTGGTGAGGGGGCTCGTTTGATTGAAGAGAAATATGGATGTATTGTTAATATGGAATATCTGGAACAGGTGAATACACTTTATCAATAATTAATTTTCGAAGTTAGTTTGCTGTTTTGTAGCTTCTGGGGATGTTTTATTGGTGTGATTTTAGTTAAATGATTTAGATTCCGTGAGTCATAGTTTAAGATTACTGAACAAACGTGCAGAGGAGTAAATCTGTTCTAAAAGATATTGGTTTATACATTATACGTATGTCTTTAATTAAGGAAGGATTATAGGAGGTAGTACGTCGGATCTATATGATGGCATACATACCTTCCGGCTTTTGGTCTCGACTGATGACACGTGCACTTGTCGATGATCATATAACGATGTGTGTAGAGCGTTTATTGCAAGTTGAATACCTGTCGGAGGACTCTTCCTTAGAGGCATTGAATGAAATTTGTGACAAGCAGTTTCTCCCGTCCTGGTTGCTTTGGCAGACCGGTTTCGAAGTATGTTTTTTTTTTTTAATTTTCCTGGTCCAAGAATGTCACTTTAATTTTTCCGGTGGTACTACGAAATGGGAACATCTCTCCTTCATTTATCTCGTCCTTACATTTGAAATCACTTTATCATTTCTTCTTGTTCCATATATTACTCTTTGTGTTTACTTGCAAAAGATAATTCCATTTATTTCTGATACAACACTTTTTCATTTATCTCTTTGCTTAATCAAAAATAGATGAGGCACTTAGTGTTTCTTGTTATATAGAAAATAAAAGACTATTTCCGAATGCAAAAAGTAATAATGACAGGATTGCTACTGCACAGATATATATATACTTAATGTGCAAAATGCCGCTGTATCAAATCATCTCATACTGGTATTCCTTTATTCATTGTATCTCATCATTGTCTGAAATCAAAATTTCTGTTTTCATTTGATGAAAAAACAATAAGGGAAATTTTTTGAATTGTATTATATAAGATAGAGTTGAAATAGTTTTTTTTTCTTGCGCCGCTCTCAACTCTATTATGGTGATGTTTTCAGATCTTGGCGTTTGAAAAAACAATATTTGTAATGCGCCAGTTTTTGCCGCTTGCGGAGGTGCGAGACATTCATTACGAAGCAGTTGACTGGTGCTGTTGTGCAGAAGATGGTAACTGGCGTACGATGGACATGAGTGACTCTTCACTGATCGAAATCATCATTCCAGCAGTCAGGTTCCGATTGTCTTCAGTGCCATTCCCTCACCATATCAAGCAACTGCAAAACAGTTTTTTGTTATTTTAGGATAAATTTAGTGAGCGATGAAAAAGAATACGTTCTTCGGAGTAATAGAGCTGCAATGACCCGTCTCTTGGCTCTTGTTGTGGACATTTTGGATACCTTGTTGGAAGATTGGTATGTACTTATCTACAGATTAATATGTATTCATATGTTGTGTTTGGTTGCATTAAATGATACAAAATATTTTCACTGAAATCCAAACTGAGTAATTTTGATGGTATATAGATTTGATTTTTTACTGATGCTGATTTGAAAATTTTCAGGTATCCTTCATTAGGAACACGTTTTGTGCACACTTCAGAGGGATGCCTCCTCGTAAATCGTCTCGTTCCCTGTCTCAAATGTGCCAACAGTATGCGAAATCTGGATGGTTTTTTCAAAGTCAAGAGGAATGATGATGTAATATGGTGATTTTTGTTTGATTATGAAGTTTTGTAATTCATGAAATATCAGCCCGTATTATCCTTCTTTTCTTTTTATCCACTTGCTCTTTCTGGCACCACACTTAAATTAACTACTCGACTTTGATAAATAGTAGCACAATGTTATAGAGACATTACTTCTTGTCCTTCATTATGTTCTTTCGCAAACAATACTTCATTTTAGTGAAGCATTACCAAAGCAAAAGTTGCATGCATTCACGGTGGAGGAATGTATCCTTAGCGCCCATGATGGAATCAATTTGAGATGTCCCGCGCACTCCGATATATCCATTGTAGACATTGCTCCTGACACTGTCTTCCTGGATATAAGTGAGGATTATCTCATCCAGCCTACTTCTGTGAAGCGTGGTAAATTGCTCGGACATGGTGCATTCGGTTTTGTGTTCAAGGCCGCACTCAAAATTTCGGTAAAGTATTATATGATATCGCATAGTATTGTATAGTAAGATATCATCATTGATGGTAGCAATGAATGATATTTGTTAGAGTGTTTCACTTTTTTCAAACATGTGGAACATTCTTAATTGTTATTTTTGGTTTTTTCCAAGTAGTAGGCCTTTTTACGAATCAAATTACTGATTCTACAACACGTTCCAGGATGCAAACGTGCAAGATACTGCGTTAAAAATGTTAGAACCAGTGGAACCGGGCTTGGGGGCTCGAGCATCGTCAATTTCAGCATATAAGGTTAAATTGCGTCGCGTTCATTTACTGACGAGTAATAGCTGGTGGAGTGTTCATTTTTCTTTTCAAATGTGTATAGCACTTATGTAATATTACTACTCTTTTAAGTATCAATTATAAAAAATTGTAAGAAAATTAATTTGACTTTGCACAAAAAAACAGCAGCATAAATGATTTTGGCCAATTTAGCCATTCAGCCAATTCAGCCATAATTGTTGCAGTTGTTCACGTCATGAGAATTAATCTCCATTATGCTGAGCAGGTATGATTTTTAGGCAGCATATACGAAATGGCAACGAGATCCATTGCAGAACGCTTGCCGTGCATACTGCACCTGTCGACAGGAGCTGAATGTGCTAGCATCACTTCAACATTCTCACATCACTGCGCTAATGGGAGTGTGCCCTCGACCTTTGGCTCTATTGGTCGAATTAGCTCCTCTTGGCGCCTTGAATCATCTACTTAATAATTATCGGCGGAGCGGGGCTCGGTTACGTCTCAGTGTCATTCAGGATACTGCTAGCCAGGTTCTCTTCAACGATTTGCGGACATATTCAGTTATTTTTCTTTAATATGAAAGTAGTTCTATACAATAAGCATATCCCGATTGTTTTGAAATTGTTTTTTGAAGACAAACTATATAATCTTTGAATCCCCTTTTGCAATTTTTAGGTAGCCAAAGCGCTGGAATATCTTCACGAGCACCGCATCATTTACCGCGACCTGAAATGTGAAAATGTGTTAACATGGCGATTCCCGCCGCCGTTCAGTACCATAACAGATGTCCTCATTAAACTAGGTGATTATGGCATATCACGAAGCTCGTTTCCTTCCGGTGGTACAAAAGGATTCGGCGGAACTGAAGGTTTCATGGCTCCAGAGATAATGCGTTACAACGGGGAACAAGAATACACAGAAAAGGTAATGTTTAAGGAGTTGTATCTTCATTTACCTTTTTTTTGTTTCGTGCCTTTTAATTTATTCCCTAGTATAGGTAGACTGCTTCTCGTTTGCTATGTTCCTGTACGAGCTGATTAGTCTTAAGCTACCATTCGATGGGCATGAACAACTCAAGGAATATGTTTTGGATGGAGGACGACCACGGCTTACTCCTTCTGTGAGTTTATTTTTTCTTCCAGTGTTTACTGATAGCAGTTTCAAGAATGAATGAAGTTACGAAAAAAAAAACATTTATTTGCTCTATTGTGAGCTTTGTTGAGCAGTAAGCTATTTGATTTTGGCCTATTTATTTGGTTTGATTTATTGAGTATTTTATTACTTGGAATAAGATTCATAAGTCATTAATCACTTTATGTAGATGCGTTACTTGTATATTTATACTCATATCTGAGATAATCACAAATTATTCCAATATGTGAAGATGGTTTTTCTGCTCTATTTGTTGCGACATTGCAGGAATTGTTATATCCTTGCAACGTGCTCGATGTGATGGTTGTTTGTTGGGCAGCACAGCCGGTGGATCGTCCTTCAGCATCTCAAATTGTCTCTATGACTACAGCTCCAGAATTCACTCATCTGTTGGATGTGATTTCCCTAAACGACCCAGATTCGGCTGTCAACGCTAGTATTTCTTTTCCTAGTAAGTAGTTCATTATTTCTTCTCATAACTAGGGCGAAAAAATGCTGTTGAGAATATTCCTTCAAATCATGACTGATTATTTCGATTACTACCTTACAAGTCTTGAAGTACCGAGTTTTCATAATAATTCCACAATTCTACAGCTCTTTTACCTCTTAGAACTTTTGACGTGTTAGAGATATCATAATCCTGTTTTTTCCTATGGTTTGATTTTTAGCTTTGGATGACGTCGAGGTGGGTTCCACAATAGAAGACAATGTTGAAGGTGAAGTATGGATGAGCAGGTCGGACGGATCTGTTACTGTTGTTAGTTGCAATCAGTATGGTTGGCTAGATTCTAAGGTTACTTAATTGCTTATAAATTTTGATGTTCGTCTAATTGTTTCTTCGGATGCTGTTTAAAAGTTGAAAGGCACAGTATGTGAAATCAAAAATTGTCGGTATTCTACTACTGGCAAAGTTACAGAGCATCATAATGAATACGGACAGAACAGTAATATTGGCTATGTGTGTCGTCAACGACAGCGTGTGGCTTGCAGAATCGACTGGAATATTGAGGATTTACTGGTTTGTTAATGTTGTATGATGCTGAAATCAGTTTTAATGAGAAGTTCGTAAAGAAAGTCTGTATTTTTCGTTTATACCTTTATATTCTCAAAAACTTGTATGTTTATAGCCGTTCATCGTACTCCGAAATATGGTCGTTCTCAATATCGCGTTTTCTCCCCACTGCACATCTATCTATTAGCGTCATTTCTTTATCGGTTTTTATTACTGCTCCTCTATTAATACTAGTTACTCTTCCTTCTGCATTATTGCTTGTGAAGGGTGATCGTGCTTCTGATAATCCTTTCGTTTCATCCATCGGTTTATCCACCATTCACTCATCTGCTGTAATCGATTATGGCCAGAGTGTGAAGTAAGCAGTTCTGTTATTTCGTTTCCATTGGTTTACTATAATGAGTGTGATTAATTTACACATCTGATTAACTTGATTTGTTAATTGATTTGAACAATGGTGAAAGTGAACAACGTTGTTATACAGTAGTAGATACGAACGATATATGTAATGAGGGAAAAGGGACATAGATCTTAATTACCGCGTCGATTTAATCGACCAATATAGTTGTATTTTGAGTCATTTTTTATTTTCAGGCAGATATGGACAGGACATGAGCATTCCTCCATATCGATTTACGATGTAACTTTGGAGAATCGATTGGTGCTCGCTGCAAACATTTGTCATGATGAAAGTCAGATAACTGTTGAGAAAAACTGCGTGTCATACATGGTGACTACTAGAACAGATTCGACGCTGTTATGGTCTGTCCTCTCGTATGGGAGCAAAGTAATTTACTTGCAAATATTATTGACAATGGTTTTTTATCGACAATTTCATTAGTTTGGTGACATTCCTATTTCAGCATCCTAACTGTCATTAACTGTAGTGCTCATAATTCTCATTTGATGTAAATTTCAAGAACTTATGACATGAAAATATGAAAGAACTTATGATATGAAAAAATTACTGTGATTAACAAACCCATTCTCTATCGATTATTATCTGTACTGCTTTTACATTTGTTTCGAGAAAGAATTCCAGCGCATATTTGTAGGTGTATCAGTGGTCCACGGCATCACGAAAGGTGCTTAATCGACTTGACTCTCGTAAGATTTTGCCTTCTTCGGAATCAATCTCAACTCTGGATATTGAGGCATCTCGAGATGGTTATGTTTCTGCACTTGCGCTGCTAGATAGGATGGATGGTGCACAGTTGTATATAGGAACTAGCAGAGGAGCAATAATTGTTGCTCAAGCTTTCGAAGTAAGTAGAGTTTTTTATTTTTTATTACTGATGTTATTAGTGCGTTGATGATACGCGTTTAGGTGTAGGACTTTGAAAACAGAAAGGGAGTTGTTTGAAATATATTTATTCGCAAGGAATAACCATGCGTAAATAAATTGATTCCACACCAAATGTGTTTCAGATATACTAACATTTAACATCTTAGAATATGAGAAATAGAATCAATTTTGCACTTTTAATAACTCTTTTCTACTATGGTATTTACTATTGTGCCATTGATGACATCAGCAGAGCTGTGAATTGTATCAATTGATGATATGATAAAGAAACTGTCGCGTTTATGCTCTAGTCAGTATTTCCACATGTGCTAAAGTACATGAAAGTTTTATGCCTGAGCTATTGAACTTGAAAATGATATCTATATGTCAGTTTTGATGACTAAACTTGAAATCACTCATGCATGTACCAACGGTCGTTTACCTGATTACTTGATTTAGGACGCTGAAATATTTTGGAATAAAAGGTGTATTGATCTTACATATTTCGTGATTGACAGTCATCTATATTATCAGTTTATCTTCATGTTAAAGAAACTGGTGTTGGTCAGAGACTCCATTGCTGATTGTAAACAACTATATTACAGATGCGACCACTTGCTGCATTCCGGCCATATGTAGAAGACGTGCATACGATTATTGTGTTGGATGTAGCTTCAGCCTTAAATGAATACATGCGTATTCGTAAAGATTTCATCAGTGTGGCAAGCTTGGGAGGGCGGAGTTTTGCCGCTAACAGCACTGGTAGCGGGAATGATCCAGAAAATGTTAGCTGGGTAAAGAGTCGCGTATCGGAAACAGTAGATTGTTTCAGGCAGGGTACTGCTGAACATGTGTCTTCCTTAAATAGTTATGTAATTACGGTTGGAAATGGGTACAGGTTTGTTATATTTTAACTTCTTTGATTCAGTGCAGTTTGTATTTAATATTTAGTGGTACTTGATCTGAAAATTATTAATTGCGTACATTATTCCTTGCTGTTTGTGGCAAGTAACAGTTTGTCTCCCATAAAAAATCCTAGATTATATTGAGATTTAGGTATAAATCATAAATCATTTAGATAACTTCCAGATGCCTGATAGATCGATTTACGGACCGGAAGCATCAAGGATCAGCTACTCTTCGTCGTGAGTCGCACTGCGCAATCATATGGCGCACAGATGAATGGGTTTCATAATTTGTGCTCGTTCATATTGCATATATTTAGCTACTCCAGCCAATTTGAGCAAATCATTACATATGTGACTTCATTGCTTTTTGTCATTTTAAATACGAGTTTACTTGACAGCCCCTCTAAGTCCTTCTATCGCTTTTCTGCAAGACTTTTCAGGTAGTTGGATCTTTATCTTTCTTAGTATTTTATATATATTTTATATTTTATAAATACCCATCTTTTTCTCTCAAAACTATTAGCAGTCGTATCTATAAAAAAATATGATTTGATAAAGAGTTTTTTCGAAATTACAGTTGTGTTTACTGTTTGCAGTTCTGAATTATCTATTGATTCTTTGGCAGATGCTGTATGTCAAATGCACAGTAAAGAAGAGAAAGTAAATAAAAAGCGGTACATTTTTGAGCGTTTTCAGATGCATATTATGCTGCACTATAGGTGCGTTGAGAATGATATGCTAATGTCTTCACTATGTAACTCTCGGGTTCTCTCTTAATCTCATTTGTCGACAAGTATTAAGCAGATTGTGCATCCGGTGAATTTCGTTCTATTGTAATGTTGACCTTTTTCCTTTCTGTTTCCACTGTCATTGTACTGCTTCATTGAAAGCATATTTTGAGATTTCTGCAGTTTTGAATAATAAAATTTGTGAAATTTTGGATTATTTCATATCTACTTACCGTTCGAGCACGCGTGAAAGTTTCTTATGGTTTGGCTCTCACCTATGATGCTGGTGAGAGTATTATATGGAATACTTTTTAAGATTTTCAGGGTAGAATCTTTTTTTAAGAAAAATATCAAAATTTAGTTTGCAAGGATAACAGAAGAGGGGATGGCGTTTCTGCGATCAACAAAACCCAGAAAGAAACGAACTGCCAACACATTGGCTTGCCTTCTTCAGGCTGTGGAGGGTAGCTCGGTAGTCATTGAACTGAAGGATTATTCTGTTGTACAAGGTTAGACATTCTAATACATTGACCATATATGTATTTGAGGTCGAATTATTCCTGTAGTTATAAAAAGTCTTTTTGGATTACTTGATAGCATTTATTGCTGTTCAGAGTTCAAAGAGCAAATCTTATTTCTATTATCTTCATTTTATCTTCACTTCCCTCCCGCTTTTTTACCCCAATTACGAGTGAAAAAAAGAAAAGGGAGGAACAAAGAAAAGAAGGAAATTCAGATTTCATGAAATTTCCTGTTGGGAGGAGAACCTAATCACTGAATCAGAATTAGTCGATAAAATCTCATCGTCTACATTATATTATACTGCAGTTAGATGTAAAGTGGTGAAATCGCAGCTAAGCATCTCATCTATTTATTTATCTGTCTCTCCCTTTAGGATAGTTGATTTTACATTTCGGCGGACTTTAGTTTTACATTTTTGCTGACGATTAGATATTTTTAGCTATTTAGTGAGTTTCCTACATTAGTAATATCAAAAATGTTCCGCCTTTTCTCTCAGTCATCGTTCCTTTCTATTGTTTCTAGAGACATCAAGTTATTTATTATTCTAATTAAAATATCATTGTAAAAGGCTGTTACTAAATTGTAATTTTAGGTATTCTGGCTCATTGTGATGATGCTATGAATGTAGAAATGAAGGCCGTTACTATTCATGAATCCAAGCACCATATTATGCCTCTTCATTGCGATAGTTTCCATATACAAGGCAAATTTATACGTTTTGTACACTTCGATCATTATTTCAACGCTTCCAAAGTAATACACAAGTGGTTGAATGTTTCGCGAAATTTCGGGGGACCATTAAGGAAGAAGACATGCTAGATCATATGTTTGTCACAGGTTAAATAGAGCAGTGATTTTGTTTTTGTATCTCAGTGTCTGATTTGTAAGCATTATGATTTATTATACCTCCCTTTGTTCCTTCCTAACTAATATTTGAATAGATTAATCGAAAAAAATGAATACAAATGAAAATTTGTTCAGCAGCACCTGCTTACCTAACATAGCTGCTGTTATCTTATGTAAAGCTGGAAAAAAAAGATGATTTATGTTCCTTTTTCCGGTAAGTGCTTCTCTGGAACAGCATGATATCACAATCATTGTTCCTGTGTTGCTCATTTACGAGTATCGTAAACTCTGCTATTATTTGTCCACAGGAAACTGTAGTATTATTTTACTCACTGACTGATACACATACACATAATTGCGAGTGAACAATTATTCCAACACAAGCGGTACAACAACACAGCTATAAAAGACAAATCCATCCAATAATTCAAAAGCACAAAAAAACTCAAACTATTTTTTCATATTACCTAAAACGCTGAACAATCAAAAATGAAAAGGGGCAGAACCACACTTCAACATGATGCGAAAGAAATCATATTAATTTTTAAAATGAGAAGTTTCTTAGAAAATCTAGGATTTTAGATATTCTGAGAATGCCTTATTCGTAGTAGAGGGAAATTGCAAGGAGAGGAAAGTATAGTACAATAGTTGTAATTTTTTCCATTTCTTAAATATTTCCTAGCTAAATTTACTCGTAGTACAAAGAGAACGACAGTTGAATGATGACGAGATTTCCGCCAGATGCATTTATGAAAGCAGCTAAGCAGCTGACATATGAACAGAATTACCTAACATTTACTTATTTGGCAAACACTGTAGTAATAACTTACATCTCCTTCATTTGGTTCATTGTGAAATCCTTCAGAAGTAATCGAAATTGATCCAAGACATCAGTGCATTCCTCTATTCAGAATTCAATTGAGTAACCTGCGTTGTTTATAAGATGATAAACGCTGATTTTATATGAAAGGCCATATATAGCAATTAGGAGAGAGACAGTACTCCCATGATGTGTATGTTGTACTATATTGCAGTTGTAACATTCATATCAATGATATGTTGGCCAATTTCTGTACTGAGACGATACAATATTTTGGTGATAAACTATCCATTTTGCCTGTACCGCTCTTGATAATGTACGTAAATCACCCAATCCATCCATCTCGTTTCGATCTCTCCCATAAAAATAAACACATCAAGCTGCTTGGGACTCAGATTTTCAGAATGATGAGGACTTGGTGACAGACACCGTAGCTTAGAGATCTATGATTCTCCGTGACACGATGACAGGATTTGTGGGGTTTGTGTTATGTGAGTCATGTTGTACAAGTGTCACTCATGGTGTGGCTCGGGAATGGCGTTCTGGTGTTGGTTGTTGTTTCGTTTCCCTAATTTATTTATTTTTAGTAACAAAAATAGCATGGCTTACAGAAGGGAGAGTATGCGGAATGGGGGCGACGTATTTCGCAAAATTCGCGACGTCTTCACTTCTCTGAATGACAAATTGTAAGTTGTTATAGCAGAAATTAAAAACTTGCGGGTTCTTAAACCTTAGCTTGGAGCTAACACTAGCTACTGAAAGCCATTCAAAATATCCAAGTGGACCGACCGTACAAACATTCACCTATAGTAATAATGTCATGTAAGCTCCTTTTATCTTATTCTCTTTTGGGTTGAGTGAGGTCAGAGTGATTTAACTCTAGACTATTTTTTTTGTTCATAGTTTTATTAACATGTTCCAAATTAACTTTCGAGTTAATTATGTGCATTATCATTTTCACTAAATCCATTGTTTAGGGAGAAAGACGTGCGGGAGCATCTGCGAGCTGTTTACGGAACTTTAGCATTAGGTTTAATGACAGCAACCATTGGAATTCTGCTGCATTTGTGCATCGACTTTCTTCGTGATAACTTTTTCCTATTGTTTGGTTCTATCCTACTGATGATAGCACTGTTAAAGACCCCACATAATGTTCGTAACGAACGTAAACGACTTGGGTATTTCATCGCTTTTTGCGCCCTTTCTGGTGCGTTTTTTGTTAAACTCCTATATAAAGTTAGTTGATGGACAATTTTCAATTTTTAAAATCTATTTTGCATTCCAGTTGGATAAATGTCTACTTGCTTTTGAAATCATTTTAGGTATGAATTCTGGTCCGCTCATTGAGAAAGCTTTAATGGTCGATCCATCAACTATTCTCACTGCGTTCCTTGCCACTGCTGTCGTTTTCAGCTGTTTCACTATGGCAGCGCTGCATGCACCTTCCACAAAGTTTCTGCACCTTGGAGGTTTTCTGCTTGTTCACATATTTTTTGAACTAGCGTTGAGAGGAATGTTGGATGTTAAGTAAAGTTAATCATGGTGTTTTTCTATTGTAGGGATCATTACTTCGGGGCTATTTTTCATTATGATCACAGCGGTTTTTTCACATTCTGTATTTATGCATACCACCTGCCTTTGGTTAGCGTTTGTGATTAATTGCGCCCTGGTACTTTATGATACGCAATTAATTTGTGAGAAGCGTCGTCGTGGTGACACGGATTATATATTGCACAGCATCGAACTTTTCATAGACTTCATCAACCTTTTCCGCTATATACTTGCTGTTCTTATTGAAAAGAAGGTATAATTTTTTGTTCGTTATCAAGTTACTCTTTAGGCAAAGGATGGAATTAGGAGGGGGTTATATAAACATATCACTACACAATTTTTTTTAAATGGTAATTTCAGGACCATGCTTTGACAATCCTGTTTCTCTCCCATCCCCTTTTCAATTCTCTCTCTTTTCCGGGAAGAGTCGTAAAAGTTGGACATACCAACCTTGTTTTTGCAGCATATTTATAGGTTCCTATAGATAGGTGTATAACGGTTGATTCATCAAATTTTTTTAGAAGAGAGCGGACCGTAAAAGAAACGACTGAAGAGCATCAAGAACACTTCTATCTATCTGACTTTCTCATTATTCGCTTTTTTCTTGTCTTTTGCAGCTTTTTCCGTATTTGTATTCAATAAAATTTGTCCACTATATAGTTCGTTGCACATAATGCACCGAGGTGAAGGATGTCATCACTGTATTTCTTTATGATTGAAAAGAAAGTGGAAGTTTATTTGTCTAATCCTCTCGAAATAGATCTGGGAGCATAGAAAGGATGTAAGGTTCTCAATATATGAATGAAGGATGACGAAGTCATCAGAGAAATATGTTCCATCTGCATCGTCTGCAGTCATCAGAGAAATATGTTCCATTATTTTATGATGAACTGGGCTGGTAGGTCCTTGCACTTTCTTCTGGGAGGTTCCAACTTTCACAGATAGCAACCTTTATAGTTAATCCCGTAACACTGCTGCAGACTACTCTTTGTGTTTCCTGCTTAACTGACGAGTGCAACTTTCTCGGCAGTTTCTTGTCCACAAAGTCGCTTTTTGGAAGAAAAGTATACTGGCCGTTAATGTGCTCTTGTTTTCTGATTCCGGAGCTGATAGCAGCATGATGATGGGAGATCTTACGATTGTGTAGTGGAAGAGGGATAAGGTCTGTAGAAATAGTCACAATTGAATCAAATGGAAACCGCAAACTTTGATGACTTTTTGGCTGTAACTGTTATTTTGCTGATGTTGTTCTTTCTGTCATCCCTATTGCAGTTTTAGACTTTCGAAGAAAATGATGTTAATAGTAAGGTTTTTCAGGATGCCGAAGGTACTTAATGATTAATTAAAGACGTGAAAAAGAACGGAAGAAAAAATGGATTCGGGTAATGATTCATCGCAGAATGGCGATTTTCGTTCTGACGTATTGTCGGTAAGCTATACAGCGCTCTATTCATGATAAATAGGTCCTATTACGGATAAATTTTAGATCAGTAAAGAGGTCATTTTTTTGAAATAAAATTGGCAATTTTTTTATTCACATATTATCTTTCAGGCCGTTGGAATGACTCCCGGTAGTTCTTCCCTGAGTTTAATTCAGAATAAAGTAAGACATGCTGATCGGTTTTGGGTGCTTCCTGGAGAAAAGATACAAATTGAGGGTATATTGATTATTTGACTTTTTTCTTGATGGATATTTCAGTTGCGGACTACTCCCAAATGAAGTGTATCAAAAAATGTAACAATTGTTTTAGATCTCCGTTTTATATTAATGTGTTTTAGTTTTATTTGTAGGATTTTTACTGAAGAAATTCAGTAATTCCACAAGAGCCCTAAGCGGAATACCCATCAATTCGGCTACTTTGATTGGACTGATATTTTTTTGTAAATATAACTTGTCCAAAAATAACTGGGAATCGTCGATACATTATTGTTAAAGCGGCTATATTTTTGTTATCCGTGCTCTTTATATTGCTCATTTGCAGAGACGAACATTGGTTACATGTCACCTGTAGGCAAAGTAAATGGTAGGGTACTTGTTACTAACTACCGCCTGCGTTTTGAAGCGAAACCAACCTCTGAAAATCGTCATAGCAAGGTTTTTTTTTAAGCATTTCAGACAGTAAGGGAGTTGCTGTTTGAAGATGAACATAATTAGCCGATGGTGACACAAAGTTTTTTCAGTGTTGTCAATTTGATATACCTCTGGGATGCATCTCAAGGGTTGAAAAGGTTGGCTATTCAACGGTGAGCCGCGGCGAAGATTCTTATGGATTAGAAATCACTTGTAAAGTAATTACTTTTCGTGAAGAAATCTGTTAATGTTGATAGTGCCCATCATTGTTTATATGTTTCTGCAGGATATGCGTAATATAAGGTTCACTCACCAGCAAACGAATCACAGTAGACGTCCGCTTTACGAAAGTTTACAGCGATTCGCTTTCCCAGTCACCAATAAATCTGTAAGTTTCTCTCATTGAGTTTTTCATGGAGAAGACTATGCTTTTGTTCTCGTAATCATTGTTGTTATCCGTTCCTTTTTTTCATTATCATAGATATCATTATAAAGTTACATTGGAAAAATGAAAAATGATGATGTACCACTTTTGGCTCTTTGCTTAACCCAGACCATTTTTACTTATGAGTACTGGATCCGTCATATGCATTCTATATAATCATTATCTTGTAGTGATGTTTTAAATTTTAAGAATGAATGAATTCATGATTTCAGTCCTTCTTTGCTGCGTCTTTCAAGCCTGACTGGACTTTTGATGGTTGGAATATTTATGATACTGTTCGAGAACTGAATCGGATGGTAGCAGATCTGTATTCTGCATTTAGTTATTGTTAACTCCTCATGTTTGAAAAATATTATGGTTGCACATTGGTGCACAAAATCTCTAAAAGGAAATTTTGTGAGCGGGCTAAATGTGTTGAATGTTGCAGAATATACCAAATGAAACTTGGAGAATCACGAAGATAAATGATCGATATGATTTCGCCGATTCTTATCCTGCTTTGGTAAATTTATAGAATGTAATTTTCGTATTCTTTTAGTAAGATCATTGAATATTAAATGAGTATATTACTTATCGAATTTGAAAAAGCAGAGCGTAACATAAATAATCCATTTTGTAATAATTCAATCATACTATTTCAGCTAGCTATACCAGCGACAGCTATGTTAGAGGGTGAAGATTTTTTGCAAAAAGTTGGGGAATTCAGGAGTAAGCAGAGAATACCTGTAAGTAACCGAATTCATGTCTAAATCATTTTGGTATCTTTGGTAACTTTCATATTCATCTTATCAACGAGATATTTCCAGGTCTTGTCATGGTTGCATCCTACTTCTCAAGCATCAATAACACGATCATCACAACCAATGGTTGGAGTTACATCTCGAAAATCTGCTGAAGATGAACGGTTTATATTTAATCTTGTAATATACTTACAGAGAATAATAACATTTAATTTTATTACGCTCTATAAGTCAATTGTAAAAATTTATTCAAAGCATAGCTATATGATTTGAAATACTGGTATATTTTTGTCCTACAGTGTGGATTTATATCATACTAATTTATAAGTTAGAAATTTATTTTTTGGTTGTGTAAATTAGAAATTTATTTTCAGATACTTGCAGATGATCGTTGAAGCAAATGCTCATGCTCATCAACTTCTTATATTTGATGCTCGTCCGGCCGTCAATGCTAAAGTTAATAAGGTGCATTTGAATAGATGATTTTTCTATTTCCAAACTGATTGTTTCAGTTATAGAAGAAAGATAACAAATGTTGCATTCGGTGACTCGACCTTTAATTTTTGGTCGTCCATAGAGGAAATTATCTTCTTAGAAAGAAATATGTGGCAGCCTATAATTTATAGGCAAAAGGTGGTGGTTTTGAAGATTCATACTCCAACAGTCGATTGATATTTCTGGATATACAGAATATTCATGTAGTTCGAGAATCGTAAGTTTATTTAGTACTTGGCTGCTTCATTTTCCTTATGTCTTCGGGGATGACTCTTAATTAAACTATTAGACTCTTTTCGAGTTTCGGTGTATCAAAATTACAGTTGTTACTTTCATTTAGTATAGATTCAATTAGGTATCTGTAAAATCTAAATGGAGTGTTCCTTATATATACATATTAAAACCTAAATGGACTATATATATTAAAATCTACAACGGCAGCAGCCAAAAAGACATTGTTTTAAGATTACACGAAGTAAACATCTGTTTTAAATGATTATCGGACTGTGAAACATACTTTCTTAAATAATGGACTGATTTAGTACTTTAGCCTTTTAAGAAGATTGTTAAAGTTCTTATATATAACTAGTGCGTTTAGTTAATAAAGAAATGTATTTCTATTAAAAATGCTACGAGATGTTTAAGAAATTTGATATATCAATAGTCAAGATTCGTTATAAAAATCTTTATGCTGCAAGCTAATCTTTTGTACGCATGTTAAAAGTTATAATTCAAAAATTTTAAATAAAAAAGTTAAAATGGGAAGATAGTGAAGGGCTGCTATTGCTTATAGGCTAAGAAAATTGAAAGATGTATCGTTTCCTCGTGTTGATGAAAAGAATTGGTTTCGTGTATTGGATGAAACGAAATGGTTAAACCACATCCAGGTTCATTTACCTTTTTGATTTTATGAATAAATGAGTTATAATAGGACAGTCGCTTTCTGAATTTTCTTTTCATACTTTAGCGAGAGAAATGGGAAATTTTATTGTCGTAATGCCGAAAGATTTGTTTGCTGCTAAGCTATTTCATAGCATTTTTAATTGGCTTTATTACTTTACAATTGTCACAATTACTAATGATATAGTTAGCTTCAGTTATGTTTTTTTCTGATTGTGATAATCTGCTAAGTAGTAATTGAGCAATCTAAGTATGAGTTAGATTGGAATATTGTGAAACTGCATGAAAATGATGCTGTTCTGCAGACAGTTCTGGATGGTGCAACCCAAATTGCTCGAGAAGTAGAGGATAACAAGGCATCTGTGTTAATTCATTGCAGTGATGGCTGGGATAGAACTGCCCAGGTATCTTTTTAGTTCATTACTTCTTTGTTAAATAATTTTAAAGGTTTTGCTTTAATGAATATGGGTTATACTCGGTATAATTTATTTAGTTGACTTCATTGGCAATGCTGGAGTTGGATCCATATTATCGAACTATCCAAGGGTTCGCCGTATTGGTAGAAAAGGAATGGTGCAGTTTTGGCCATAAGTTCGCCCATGTATGTTAAAACAAAAAAATTTTTTTGGTTCTTTCTAGAAAAAAATTAATAGGTATTAATTTTCATTTTTTTCTTCATTAATTAATAGGTAAACAATGTGCATTGCAGCGTGTGGGACATGGAGAAGATAAACATAGTGATAGTGAGAGATCTCCCATATTTTTACAATTTATTGATTGCGTGTGGCAAATCATGAATCAGGTAAGAAAAACCAAGTTACAACTGCTTCCACTTGTATGTTTTGATTGAAAGACTGTTTTCACTCTTGTTTTTCAATGACTTTTTCTCGATTTTTTATTCTTGTTTGCGTTCCCTTTCGATAAGTATGTAGCTATACCGCTCCATTTGCTTACATCATCCAGTTCCCATATGCTTTCGAATTCAATTCATCATTCTTGATAACAATACTGGATGAGTTATATTCTTGCCGTTTTGGGACATTCTTATACAACAGCGAGAAGCAGCGGCATCGTGATCAAGTGAGACTTTCATGAATAATCTCCTGTTCATCATTCTAAATAATTGTTCTTCGAATCATTGACTAATTGAATGGCAGCTTTCGTTATCTGCTTAGTCAAATTGTTTCAGCACGTAAAGGAAAACACAGTATCACTATGGTCTTACATTATTACCGAAAAAAGGCGCTTTCTCAATCCATTCTACAACCAATATCCTCGATTTGTCGATGTGCTGCGTCCCAATACCCGGTTAATGTGTATCAAAGTGTGGAAAGACTATTATTTTCGCTATAATCCAGCAATTGTTGCACAGGACCATGTGGTAACCCATTCTTTCTCTCGACCTGTAGTCCTATTTAATTAGTCTACTATCATGAAGTTTCAACAAAGGTTTCCGATAACTCGTAATTGATTTTCAATTTACTAGTTTGCTCAGAGAGATATTTGATTCAAATGTTTATAATTCTGCACTCTATTTGAAGCTTTGTTCCGATCTATTTGAAGTTTTGCATCTCCCGTTAAATATCTAGCCAGTTGTTCAGTTTTGAATATTTCGCCGCTTGGAGGTTAATTAATTTAAGAACTCGGCTGTATGTTTGCTAACGAATGAAGAAATTGAAAAGCTCTGATAGAAATTGAACGGTTTATGGTAATACTTATGGTTGGCTTTATGTCATTCGTTAACAGTTTATTTCACAGACAGTTTATTTCAGGATGTTGAAGCTCTTGTGAACGAGAAGATCTTACAGAAGGTTGAAGCTTTGAAAGCTGAAGTGATTATGCATGAGCAGACTCTTAGTAAAACAGTTCCGAATGCAGTTTAGGTAGGATTACTGCGTCTTGTAATAGTGAAGTGGAGTAGGAAATGAACTAGTAAAGTAGACCCATAAGGAAAAGGTGGTGATGCTCCAAAGAAAATATATTAGGAAAGAAAACGTACCAAATTGGAGAAGGGAGAGATATATTCAGAGATTTGTTGTGGTCGGTCTAATTCGAAAAGCGCTGATTTTAGTGATTATCCAGAAAAAGAAATTAAAATCGCAATAGTAATGCCTTCGTACTAATTTTTATAAAACAGCAAGAAAAAACCCAACAACGTCAAGGTGCTGTAAAATAAAAGAGAGAAAAAATTTGAACAACTTCCTTAATAAACATTTTTTGAATATAAATCTCGCGAATAAACTACATACTTATTGATGATCCACAAAAAACTTCAAAATAATTTCGAAAAGGTATGTTAAGTTAATTGCGGTATCCTTTGATTTTAATATTTTGCGTTCATCATGAATATCAAATGTTTCGAAAAGACATCAGATGCTTCTTTATGTATCCTTTAAAACGATTACGTCAGGGGACCAGATTCTGTTATCTGTAGTGGCATAACCATGGTATTACTACATAGCAGGTCCTATTGCGCTATCAGTTTTGATTAACTGAGCTGTAAAGATCTGAATGGTTGAAGTGACGGTGGTTAACCTATGTGAAGTTAATCGTTAACGATGGTTAACGGTTAACATCTAATAACGCCTTGTAACCATGTTTCAAACAGTCTCGATGTTATATCAAGGATCACGGGTTATAAATGTGTGCAATCCGTTCATTCAATTTTCTATTCGCATATTCAGCTTCCGATCGATCCGTACACTGCCTTTCTCGACATAAACAAATTTTCGATGAACGGATGAAAAAGTTCGGATTTTTTTTCCAACAAATGAAAAAACTTTCACTCCACTTCGACTTTTACTCCTCTGAAAAAAAAAAAGCCATCAGCAAACCGATTTAGTTACCGTAAGACACACCCCAAAGTTTGTACCTTATTCCCATTACGCAAAGATTATCTTCTCCACTACTCCTATCAGCTATCATCAGAAACATCAAATAGTTAAGTATTGTATATGTAATATCATCTTCAACAAGCAATTTAAGCACTGGCGACATCACTGCAGAGGATATGAAGGAAAAACTAAAAGTGCTACAAACAAGATAAATTGAGGAGGATGAGAAGTACAGGAGGAAACATTAAGCTCTCATTATATAGAGAGTCACGTGGAAAAGTGGAAGATGGCAGGGTAAAATAAGTCTCCCTTGAAGTTGTCGTCTGTTATTCCATCCAAACTTATAATTCTGTCCCCATTGCAACCTAGACCCATCCCCCTTCAGCTCCGGTTTTTCTTAATGTAACACATAAATGACTATGTGGGACGTCGATTTTCATATAGTACAGATGCGTTTTTTATAAGTTGGATGATGAGCCATTGGTAATGGTGGTTTGGTATTGGGAGGATGTTCACTTGCATGTGTTCTTTCATTCTTATGCTCCCTTTCATTCATTTATATTTTTTTATTTTGGCTTGAAGCTATTTTGCAGTTAAAATGGCTCCGGGGGCGGAAGCGGTGGTGGTAGCCGAATGCCTAAAGCGGACGCTGGAACCAAGCGCACACATACGACGAATTGCAGAAAATGACCTGAAGCAAATGGAGCAGTTACCTGGTAAAAGTTACTTATATATCTTAGCGGATTGGCTGACTATATAATTTATCTGAATAAATGATTATACTTTTTAGAATAAACCATTTATTAATAATTTGCTTTCGCTGTCATCTTTTTTGTAAATGAATCTTTTGGATCATGTTGATTGATACTAGGATTTGGCATGGTTTGTCTTGATCTTATATTCGATCAACAAATGATTCCAGCAGTTGTATTGGCGTCAGCAGTATCACTCAAGAATTTCGTCAGAGAGAACTGGGTATGTATTTCTGCTTCTTTTTTGACCGAACTTCATGTAATTTCCTTAATTTTTTAAGAATTGAATTAAGCATGATTATATCCATCATGCTAAACTTTTCCAACATGTTTGACATGCATGATTTTTAAATCATTTGTTCACACTTTTTTTTGTGTGGGATATTTTTTACCGTCTATTTTTCACGGAATTTCAAAGTTAATGTTAAAACGTCAACTGTTATTATTTGCATCTTAAGCTTCAAAAATCTACATTGATAAAATTGTGTTTTGTCCTGTTAAACAGAAAAACCAAAGTCTGCAAACGAAGAAGAAAGAAGACCAGAATGAAGTATATTTCGTTGTACCATTGGATATTTTTTATTTCATAATGAAACATTGCCTCAAGTTTAATGTTTCTTTTCTCATAATAGTGCAGCTCTTTGTATCCTACAGACTCTTCAGAATAAGGAAAAGTGTTTGGTTGAAATAAACGATTCAGAACGAACACAGCTGCGATCGAGGGCACTAGAAAGTATGCTTAGCACTTCAGGTAGATATTTTTCTTTATTTGTTGGTCTGGTTATTTAATGATATCTTTCAAAGTTTAATCGAAGATGATTGGCGTATTGGAAAGACGCGCTTCCCTATTTGCATTTTGCAGACTTTCATGTACTGTGATTTAGTGTTAGCATTTTATTAGAGCATTTGCAGGAAATATTCAGAAGCAGTTGTCGCAGGTGGTGTTTGTTATGGGAAAGCATGACTTTCCTGAAGAATGGCCCGATCTAATCACAATTTTAGCCCAGAATCTAACGGGAATTGATCCAGATAAACTTACGGCGACGTTATATACACTGGATGAGCTCTGTAAGAAATACAGATATGAGGTGAAGTCAAATAGATTATGGCAGGAACTGGTCATTGTCCTGCAGGCGGTGAGTTTGTGGCATTAATCTCAATTGCATGTTATTTTAACAAAATGAATATTTCTTATTCTGTTATTTCATTTAGGTAGCAGCACCATTAACTGATTTATTTGCAAAAATGATAGAATGTATCCCAAATAAGGAGATGATGTCAGAAGCAGAATGTCAGTCATGGATTGAAGTTACTACTCTGGTTACAAAATGTTTTCATTCTCTTTGTTCACAAGATTTGCCGGAATATTTCGAGGTAAGTATATGACCTAGTTGTTGCCAGCCATCGATATTGTTGGAAGCATAGGACTTAAAAACTTTTGGTGAGGCGAGACAATGAACTCACTAAGGGAACATTATAAAACGTTTCTCAATATGTGTAAATCCTGTAATATGTCCAGGATCACTTAAGTACATGGATAAACGGTTTTATGGCGCTACTGAGATTACAAATTTCTCAATTGGATGCCAAAAGTATCGATTCAGAAGCTAATATTCTGGACAAGCTGAAGTGTTGTATCTGTGAAATTATCACCCTTTACTCTCAGGTGTGTCTGCATTCTACTGGTTTAAACGTTTTTCCATTTCTCGTTTCATTTCTCTTTTATTTACTTTGAAACGGTGTGAATAGCGAAGCTTGATTACAGCGATACGAAGAAGAAGTAATGCCTTTCATGATGCCCATCGATGAGAGTGCAACTGCACCAGAAAAAACAGAACAACGATGCTGGTTAATAGAATGCGTTTGGCAGCTACTTGTTTCAATCGATCAGAAAGCAAGGTTCATTTTTATTGAAAGCAAAAAATGTATGCATTATTTGGAGAGAGCAGGAAAGAGAATGAACGTCCTTCATTAATCCTTGTTAATTTCTTAGGTATGACACCATAGTAAATGCATCGCTTGGCTTTCTGTCCTCAATTTGCCATCGATCTCAGTATTCAGCAATTTTCGAGCATGAGGAGATGTTAAAAATACTATATGAAGATGTGATAATTAAGAATGTGATGCTAAGGAAATGCGATTTTGAGCTTTTCGAGGATGATCCTTTTGAGTATATGAGAAAAGATATTGAAGGTACCTTCATTAAAGCTTTATATATGAGATCTCTGCAGCTTATTTATAATTCTTCTGTTTAAACTAAGATAAAACTGTGAGTATCTCTCTGCAGTTTGTCCTTTTACTGTAAAACAGATGATCTCAATGAATTAGAATTTCCCTCGTGATGAAGTACGTTGCATTTCAGTTGAACACTTCTTTTGTTATCAGTTTAACACTCCTTTTAATAGTCTTATTTCAGGCTCTGATATTGGTACTCGACGCCGCGGAGCAAGTGATTTCCTGAGAGCACTTTGCCGCAGACCTGACGAATCTCGAATTTTGGGCATCTTATCGGGGGTATTACAATCATTTTTGGAAGAAAGTGTAGCAGATCTCACTAATAACTGGTTGAAGAAGGATGTCGTTTATTGTCTGATAACAGCAGTTGCAGTAAAAGCGGAGACCGTAAAGCATGGTGCAACTGTTACAAGTGATCTCGTAAGTTTTATAAATTTCTTGTAATAAAATGTAGAGTCGTGACGAACAGTGGTTCAAACAGGTGCTTTATCTGCACCTTTGTTTTTGTACCTTAGAAGTCATTAGTTTTAATGAGAATTTTTTCCAGGTTGATGTAGTCGATTTTTATCAGGTGCACGTATATAGTGACCTATTTATGGATAATATTAATGCATTACCAATATTAAAAACTGATGCACTGAAGTACGTTGTCGTGTTTCGGAATCACTTACGTCCAGACCATTTGATAGAAGTCATCAGTGCATTTCTGAAATTACTCTCTTCGCGGCATGCAATTTTGCACCAGTATACTGCTTATGCTCTCGAAAGACTTATGCTTGTGAGGAACAAGGAAACCGGAAAGGTGTATTTCTATACTTGCGATTCTATATACACTGCACCGTTATTCTATGCTCCTATAAATTTGTTTTTATCGTTGTTTTCTTTTCATTTACTGTAAATCTGCTATTCAAGCATTTCTTATTTTTTATCAGAATTTTGCAATAATACTTAAGGTTCTGTTAACGCATGAGAATATGCCAGTGGGTCCATTGATCGTTGCTTTATTTGCTTGTTTTGAAACCGATCCGAAAGCGCAGAACTCACATTACCTCATGAAGGCTTTGATGCGTTGCTTCAACGTTATTGATGTAAGAAATGCTTATTTCTGGTTATTTACCATGTTATTTTTTTCCTAATTAGTCTTGAGAGGTTTCTAATGCGAGTTTGTAAGCGATGGAAAATCATTGGTATTTTCACGTTTTAAAGAACGTTTTAAAGAAATTTAGATGTTCATAACTTCCGTCTGAGAAATATTGCTATAGTTTTGCAGACATAGAAAATCAAAAATCACTTAGCTCATATTACGCATTATAAAGAACCACTTTTAACATCTTTGTTTTGCTTTGAAGTAGGTCGTCCATTTATTTTTATTCTCCCTGCATGGATTTAAAACAGTGATCTTATAATAATTGAAGTTATCATGCATTAATGTTTGACTTTAAAAAAAAGAAAACTATTGATCGCAAGCGAGAAATATTTAACATTCATTAACTAATGGCATTAAGTGAGGAAAGAAGAGCTGTTTAGGTCATGTTTCGAAATTATATAAGGTCATCTTCGGGGCATTTTCATTCCGTTATAGCTGTTTTGTTCATTTGGTCTTTGGTATGAGTTTCATTACAGATGGAAACAGCAAAAAGTTCTGCCCACATTGTTGACAAATTGGCCACCATGATTGGCGTTGCTGTAAAAAATCCAGTCAATCCGTTGCATCTTCATTTTGTCTTCGAGTCACTATGTGTGCTGATCAGGCAGGTCAGTATACATGAGTTCATTTATTTTTCACTTATATATTCGGAAAAGTGATGTTTTCTTAAACAAATCATTTCGAAAAAAAATATATATTTTGGAAAAAAAGCATTTTTTTATAGTCTTTTACATGATTCACTTTCATAAATTGCAGGTTTACGCAGTAGTGGATGGTGGTGTTGATAAGCTCGTAGTGCCTCTTATAGAAAGTATTTTTTCTTCAGACGCTATTGATTTTGTGCCATATGCGCTACAAATTACAGGTTAATAATTTTGATTTAATATTGTAATAATGAATTCTGTCACTAAAAAAAATTTGATTCAAGTTCATTACAGCTCTTTTGTTGGATCAGGCTGAAGCACAGAAACAAAAGACAGGTACCTCCTGCGTGGATAGCTACTTACCTTTCTTTGGTAATCTCATGAAAGGCGAGTTGTGGCTGCGAACAGCGAATATCCCTGCTGCGTTATTGGTAAATTTAATTTTTAGTGCTTACTAGTTCCACCCCCTTTGCGACCATAACTTTGAACCATTGTTCTTTCCAGGTTATTGAATCATTTATGCGCAGTCATGGCAAACATATTTTGGATAATTATGCGAACAGTCTTTTGGCAGTATTTCAGAAGTTGATTTCTTCGAAAGCTTTAGATCAGCACGGTTTCCAACTGGCTAGTATATTCCTTCATTATGTAAATGTATGTCTTTTTTTATATAGGATTTGGTGGCAATGACTTTTGTTGTAAGGGAAGTAAAAAGCCTTTGCTATGAATTGGGATTTCCAGCAAGCTGATGTATTGACGGAATCCGCACTCTTAATACCGATGTTGCGACGAATTCAGTTCACGAAAACGACAAAATTCATGAAAAATTTCGTTCTCTTTCTGGCACGATTTGCGATCATACGAGGAAGTATAACTCTCTGTCAGGTATACTTTTTCCCCTTTTTCTATTTTAAATAAAGTCTGAACTGTTGTCTTGTGCAGGTTCTGGAATCAATACAAACGGGTATGTTTATGATGGTTGTCGAGAAGATTCTCATTCCTGAATTGGACAAAATGTACAACACTACAACTTATGATGAAAAACGACTGTGTTGCATTGGTTTTGCCAACCTTGCAGCTGAAACAGTGGACAAATTAGGGTGAGTTGATCTTTTCTGCCATTCACTTCAAACTTTTATTAAAAAATATACGTTGTGCTGCTTTATATTAATTCCATCATTTTGCTTAAACTTTCACTTAATAAAAGTTGTAAAGCTGTACAGAAAATAGCCATTTTGATACGTTCTGCATATGTCGGATTTTATAGATTGCAGTATGGAATACTGGTGGAGTCGTTAGTGCGGTTGGTGGAGACTTCCGGTTGTGGATCAACTTTATTGAATGTGGACGATATTGAAGAACAGGGGACAGGGCTCTCTACAATAGAATTGGAACGAAGTGATCCCTATTGTAAACTGAGTTATGCACAACATCCAGATACAATTGCCGCTGAAATTGTCAATTTCAAAGGTTTTCTATTTCTTTGGTTTATTATGATCATAGTATAATGTTTAGTCCTTTGCAGATCTGCGAACGTTGCTCATTTTATCATATCATTTCCGGAAATTTCTTAAGATTGTTCGGGAGCCTTTCTTTTCCTTCAAGGCGTTTGAATTTCAAATAGTTACTCAGCTTTTTGGGAGACGGAGAAACAAGTTCCTACCGTATAAATATGTGGTTTGGTGTTTATTGTCCAACGTTATTTTCTTATTCAGATATAGCCAAATGGCTACATCTTTTCCTAACGCTTTGCGGTTTTCCGTTTTAAGTCTCTGTAAAACTCATTCGCGTTTTATGAGTAATGAAGATCTTGAAAGTTATAGTTGTTTGTTTCATTGCAGCTTATCTGGCGGAAGCTGTCATGGTACGCGCTGTAATTCTCAAGTCAGATTCAGCAAGTTGTATTAATGAAGAGATACGCAGTTTCCTTACCGGATATGCACAACAAGTTTGAAATTTTGGAAATTCCGAGTAGTGTTATTGATAACACTTCAAGCTATTGTACTCCCTTGCTATCCAACTTTTCTTCTCTATTTCGACCCTTAATTCCTCACCATTTCCCTTTCTCATCTTGATCTACATTGTAAAATTGGAAGTACATATCGACGATGTTGTCATGTTGCCGAAATATACAAATCAGATCATAATGGTATGTGGGTATTTTCGCCTTATATAGTCCTTATAGTTTGTTGTTTTGTTGTCTTCGATTTAGTAGTGACACATGCAAGTTTGAATCGTGAAATAAATTTGGTCGCATTTAAGAATTAGAGAGTTGTTCGTGAAATCTCCACTCTTGTATATTGGGCAAGATTGTAGGAACAACGAGAAATTTATACTGGCTTTTTTTAAGGATGCTATTTCTTGGCTGTTGCTTCGGAATTGTCTTTTGGAAAAAAATATGTTGTAGGGAGAAAGCTACTTTTTTATTCTAGAATTTGATCCCTCATTGCAATTTATATCTGTTTATTTTCCCATAAAAATGCGTGGTGAAGTTTGAATTACCGTAAAATGAGAACTTTAATGGCAGGAGCTTCAGTTGGATAGCATTTCTTGATGCTGAGAGTATTCCTCAAATTCGGCTGGTCGCAATACTTTATTGGCTAATCTACGGTCGTTTAATTCAGTATTTATCTCGCCTATTTTAAGCTTATTTTTTATCGGATTTAATATTTTATCCCCTCCGATTTTTCACTTAATTTAATATTTTGTTATCCAAGGTCACAGATGAAATAGCTTTTGTGAGGGATGAACACTTTCAGCTGGCTTACCATAACACTCCTCTTTTTGCATCTAGAAATCTGAATATTACAATATGGCAAATATCACACTTTTCCTACTGTTGTTAATATGTTATTAACTTTACTAGATCCTTCGGCGCTTCCATTCCATTTTTTTCTCATCGGAAGTTATTTCATAAACGATCGTTGTGGTAACATTGGCCATTCCTGCAGGGAACCTGTGGGTAATTCAGTTTTAATGAGAATGTCCTGGAAAGGTTTACATTACCCACGTGATGCTTAGAAGTATGTGATCACCAGTTCCTTCACGCAATAGTTTTTACAGTTGAATACGTGCAAATGTAACGCTAATTTAATGCATATTATACAAGAAGCTCTGCCAGGATAACAGCCTTACTGATGAGTTGTCTTGAAGTTTCTCTTATGTTTTCTGTTTACTCGACAACAGCGAACGAGAAGATATTTGAGGAGCATGCTTGAAATCAAATTACCAACCGCCGTAGCATTAGCATTGCTTTACTTGCACCCATTCTCCATTTAAATCCAACACTAACCTTTCCTTTTTTGCAACAAATTCAATATGTCTTTCTAAGCTAAATTTATTGATCGTATAAAAAGAGGTTGGAGATAAAAGCGCAAAAAGAATAATGCATTTAAATAACAGAATGATAGTTTAAATAAATTTTGCCCAGCTAAGCATTCCCGAACAACAACAGCACGGATTACAAGAAATAAAGGTGTAGTACTAAAGAAAGTCTGGTCTGAAAAAACCAAATGACGGGCAAAACTTGGGAACACCCCTGTAAGTAGCGCACACGAATAGACAAACAAGCGTTCCTAATAGACTTGTCGATGTTCTCCTCACAACTTGTAGCAAATAAATTAAAATTTTCAGCTAACTCTCAGAAACTCAATTTTGACTCTATCAATAAAACCCTTCATTTCTCTTCCATTCTTTGGCATAGACCACTAGTCATTTAATTTATTAAGTCCTGGTGCTTATCATTTATTTTCATTAAATATTTCTCCTTTTCATTCTACTGAATAGACGTCGTAAAAATTTATATTAATCTTAATATAAAAAAAAGGCCATACTTTCTTAGTCTTTGTTGAGTTAATCTAAGTACTGTATTGACCATAACTATGCAACTGGCTGAGTGATTGGGGAATCAGAATAATTAGCAGTGAAGACAAGTGATAAAGGCACTTCATTTTTTATAGAAATATGAAAACCGACCCATTCATGGATGGTTAAAGAGTATAGAGATGAAAACGGGTTAAGTAAATGAAACAGGACACATGTATAATGCATTATACCCAGTTATGGCAATAATAGAGGGAAAGTACGTGAAATAATATTGACTTTCAGCGCACATAAGAACCGAGTGTCGGACCATTGAGTTCGATTCCTTTCTGAACTAACATTTCAGTTTGCACTTGAATTCAGAACGAGTTTCTTATCCCACTTGCTTCCTCTCAATGCTTTTTCATCGTTTATTTCCTCTATTCATCCTTTATACACTTTGTTTGGTTGGCGTCACCTCCCTCAACTGTTGGTACTGTCACGGCAAAATGGTGGCAGAGAAAAGCTGGATGACACCAGCCAATAGTTGCTGCGAACCAGATGTCACGAAGTGCAACCGTAGCTATTGCTTCTTTGCAGAAGTACGAGGTCCATCTCCTTTCTGGATTTCCGGATGCACTGATGATGAGTTCAATGGTAATCAAGCTAATACATTTTCAACGTTTCAAACTCCTTACATTGTGCATGTTCAGCGGAAATTCTTCATCGGATTTGTAGAAATCCATAAAGAAGTACCCGCCTGAACCGACGAGGAATCTCACTACAATGCCTTCTGACACATAAGTATGACTTTCTAGGTTGTGATCGGCATGAAATACCGTACAATTCGATCCTCTTGCGATGCCAATGTCAAACTGACTTTTGCAATCCAATCGACAGGATACCGCGTTGTTCTAAGAAGTCATTCAACAACACCGCAACAAAATTTTTTGGAAAAATACATGACATAAAGAGTGTTGCATGGGCTAAATGGGCTAATCAAATGAAGTCATTTAGTCCAACGATGCTCATCTTAGTCTCAGGTTAGCCTCAGCTACCGTAATAAAGACTACAAGTATTGGAAGGTTTACTGTATTGTGTACAGCATAATGCAGTCTTGGCTATCGCGTATGCATTTCGTACCTTAAATACGGATCGCAAGCCATCATGTTTAGCAAATAAAACGAACCTATTTTATGAGTAGCTAGGATAAGTGATTATTTTATTTTTAGGCAGATCGGTCTGGCATTGGCAATGAAGTGATCGACTACAGTAATAAATTCAACTTTCCCTTCTCCTTTGCATAAAAGCAGTCTTCTTCGGTCTAATAGAAACATCCTTCACAAATCTTGTAAGTGAACGAAAACGACATATGATTACTTCAGTGAATGAGGTCATTCAACTAGTAACATACACACTGTATTCGTTGTTGTCGCTGGCCACGAAAAAGAGCCCATCCTTTCCAGTCTTATTCCTGCGCACATCTTTTATCCCTTTTATCCCCGAAAAAGTAGTCTCATCCCCCCCTAGATTATCAACCTCTCCTCCTCGATGTTTATACTGCATGGCCGAATGGGTATTTTATGGTGAAGTGTTTCGTTTCTGTTTCTCGACCTTGTTAAGGTGGGAGTTGGTATGAGACGTTAAAATATGATTCTACGTTACACATATTCGATTCAGATTGGTCTATATTGGATCTCCTATTCTACTGTGCTTCTATCCCTTATATCAGACATAATATATATTGTCTATTGTTTTAAGATGTTATGTTGCTTGTTATTGTTGTACTTTTAACGCACCATATGATGCGTTTAGTATTGAATAAATTCTATCGAACCTTTTATTAGAAACGTACTCACATCAATACAAGCAGAATGAAAAGATGGCATGTTATTGATGTATGACTGTATGACCGTTGTGGACATAGAGAATTAATTTGAAAAATCATCAGAAAAGCTAGAAATTGGTTGAAAGATGAGGAAATGAAAAAAACTGTAGTACATATTTCCGAAGAATTTGGAATTATTCAATATTTGAGCGAGAAAGAGCTACTTCTGGAATCAGTATCCGTTCTCTTGCACTGATATAAAGGAATTTTCTAATTCTTGTCTACTATTTTACCTTTTTATATCCCAGATTTCAATCTCTAGCAGTGCCTTCACAACTACTTATTGAACACTTTTCTTTGTTTATTCTTCAAGTAAGCCTTCATCTCCTCTTACCTAACCACCAGTTTTTACAGTAACGACTGTTATTGTAACAAAGTTCATAAGACGTGTGGAATATTTTGATGATGACGATGAATGATAATCAGCTGATTAGTTTATGTACTGACGCTCTTAGATTATTTATTACAAAAATATGGTTAAAATGAGGCAGAGATAAGACATAGTGTGATAGCTTTGTAAGGCATCCGTAGTCAGGGAAACTCAAAGAAGTGATTGGGTGAAGATATGTCACGAGCGCGTGATGTATTAGTTCGTAAAATGTTAAAAGATGTCCTTATTTACAGGAAATAATGGAAAAAATGAAATCAATACTTATGGACGTGGACAAAAACTACTACGATATAAGGGATATATTAGCGTGTAAGCAAAGCCTTAGGTGCTTGTTTGCTAACCCTCTTCCTCGAGGTAAATTGTTTATTAAAGTTCTTGTCAGGAATGCCAGTGCTTTACAGTTGTTGCTCGCTTGTTGCACAATCACATTCATAATTTTAGAGATCTTCCATTTAATTGGGCAAAGAGCGCCCGATATGGAAGGTGGTTTTTGTCGAGCAGATTTGCCACTTTTCATGATCAGAAGTCTGCCTACTTGTAAGGTATGTTTGCTATTTACGCCATATTATAAAAAGAAAACATTCAGCATAAAGTGATGATGTGTACAGGTTGTACCACCAGCCGAATTCAGTCCCATACAAATGCAAGTTTTACGCGCAGCGCCAGAACATGTCGATGTGATGCATTTGAATCAGTTCTATTTCATCCTTTCGAAATATATTGTCAAATTAGTTCCAGGTTACTTTATATTCCTATTTGCTATTGATAGATTTTTCTCATAGAATACAGGTGTTTTCTCATGACTCAATCATTTTACGGAAGCATTAGGTTTCATTAATACAGAACTGCAAAACCATGACTTCTGCAAATGTTGCAAGAAACTGATCTACCTCTCTCTTTCGTTGTGTACTCTGGACGCGACAAAATCACAGTTTAAAAGAAAAGACTTATATCTCGTGCCACCAAATCACTTTTGTCCATGTATTTATGCCACAGTGTTTTCAGATGAAGATGGACGCTCTTTGGCGGAGACAACACTATTTTCATTTCTTCAGCGCAGCGGTTGGATCCTAAATTGTGCGTTACATCAAGGCGCAAAGCCAAAGAAAATTGATTCAACCGAAGTACAGCTTTACCGAGAAGCATTCAGTTGTGCATTGCAATTCAGCCGTTGGTTCAATTCGAGGCAAGCTATTTGTCGTAAAAGAGACAGTAGTCATTTAGACTGAATCTAAGGAATTTCTCTTTGTTACATGTTGTTTTTTTTTTCATCCAAAAGTGTCGTTGATGATTTGGAGAATATATAGAATTTGGCTTACTATGCTGCTTGTGATCTTTGCTAACATTCTGTTTGATAACTAAAGTAATAAAACATATACTGCAACTTTGGACTCATATTTTTCTGGCTGCAAATCGTTGCTGTTGATCTTGATATCTTGACTTTTATTGTGCTGTTGATCTTGATATCTTGACTTTTATTGAAGTTAAAAACTTCAGGCAAACTACAAATCTATATTTTACATGTCAAAAGTACATGCGTTGTTTTCTTGATTGTTCATCTTCTAAGCAATCACATTGAGCACATTTACTGTATGTTTGTTCGCTCTATTTTCCCTCGGTTTGCCTGAAGTTTTTAACTTCTCCAATCTCAGCGTGAATGTGCTTGATTCTCTTACTTTCTACTTGAATTTATCTATTTTTCTGAGTCGATTCACATACGTTTGTGCTTTGTACTTTCCTGCAGTTTCTTACGTTTGTCTGACTGTATCCCGACTGCGTATTATTCTTATACATGCGTGATATATGTATGTCTGTTTGTGTCTTTATGCACATTGTAAGTTGTTTTGCTTCGTTGTTGCTACCGAGCATTTTCAAATTCGGTGTGAAGTTCCATCAAAGACAACGGCTAAGCATGCATTGCACTTTCTAATTCAATGTAACAAAAGTAATCTGCTGCTTATATTTTTGAAAAAACTACAGATTTTCGTTCATAACATACATCTCTGTATTACCGTGGAACTTCGTCTGTTTTTTACTCAAAACAGAATTTTGTGTACCGAATTTTATCTTTTACTATGAATCATTATAATATATACAACTATGTCAACTATATCTTTACCGGTGAATTCATAAATCATTCCCAGCACAGACCATTTGAGAATGTTTTGTTTACTTAATGAATACATCAGAGTGAAAGCAATCGCCAAAAATTAATGATGAATACACTGAGAATGATGATTACACCAATGTATCTCTGAAATATCTTCGACGCTACTTCAATTCATGCTTTTAACACTTTTTCTTGTCATCTCTCTGCGTCAATTTTGAATTTGTGGCCCAAATATGCATGTCTGTTGTTATCCCCGGATCTTTCATATTTTGATTTAGATATTATTTTCATATTTGTCAATTGGAGAAATAAAAATTTGTTTGGCTATCTATCGTTGGTACTCAATGTCTAATGGTTATGACCATTGACTTTGCTTAAGTGGAATCAGGAACCAATTGGTTTGATTGCGAGAAATGCCAATATGTTCCACTGCTTTGCACAAATTGCATTCAAGCGGAACGAATAGTATATCAGTTTGAAATATGAGGAGACCGGAGAAGATGCAACGACATAACACTGAATCTCTTGGCTTTGATAATCATAAGATGTAGACATTTGCATGCCTAATCCCTCATGTTGATAACTCGGAAGATACTATTAATACATATATCATTTTAGAATTGCGCCTGTGCCTTTGCAACATTTCTTTTTAATGATGCACAATTTAAATGTGACTTAGTATTTTTGCAGATTTACTATGTCGCATTTGAATTTATGGCAGTGGCAGTGTTTGTTAAAGGAGTCGAGAATGTTCAATGATTTGCGGGATTTTTTAAAATTTATATTTAATGATTGCAAATTGTACAAGCATTGATCTTTTAAGCTGAAACCAGAAAGATAACGAACTATGCATTCCTTCGATGAGGATATCAGTAAGCTATTCGGTTTTGAGCTTTATGATGATGTCATCACGCTCTATGAGTTGTCATATGCTGAGCAAGTGTTAAGTAAGCTCCAGGCTGCAACTGTGGTCTCAATGGTAGCCGAATCCTATTACCAGCGTGACTGTTTTATCAAGAGCCAGGAGGTATGGTGTGCTTCATTTTTTTCTGAAAGTAATTTTCTGAAATAAAATAAATGATTTTCCGAAATAAAGGATGCGCAATTTCAGGCTTTTTTGGTGCGATTTCTTATTTCAGGCTTTTTATCGTGCGATTACGTTGACAAAGACATTATCAAAGTCAGTCATCAAAGATTTGGTATGTTGTCTATCTCTGGCGAATTACTTAGAAGTGGATAAGTTACCTTCATTAATGGAAATAGAAATAGCATTTACTTACCCGAATTGAATCACTTTTCAGAAATTTTCTGAAGCCGAACTTAAATACCGACTTCATCGCTGTTTGTTGAAACAGCGTAAACGAGAGGAAGCAATGGGTGTCCTTGGTAGCATTGCCGGAGAAGAAATGACTCCGAAAGTTAGCCATTTTGATCTTTTTCCAGACGAATTTTCTGAATGAGCATTGTTGTGAATATATTTCCTTATTATCTTTCAATTATTGCTAGAGGTCGGAAAAATGAAGTGTCATATAAAATGTAGGGTTTCAAAAGTGAAAGACCCCTTGATTCTTCTGAGTATTCAAATTTTTGTATAACTATGTTTTAATTATAAGATACAGATAAAATGGATAATTATAAGGAAGTAACGTTATCATATAAAAACATGACTGTATTGTTACCAGGTTAGTGGTTGAATTAGCAGAAATTCGAAAGCAATTTGGAGAAAAAAGTGGATAAAAGTAAAATTAAAATATCAAGAACAAACACTGTAATATAACTTGATCTAAGGAATTGTTCCTACTATAATTATTTTTCTTTAGTTTTACTACTTTCCATAGGAATCAGTATGATGTAGAGCAGCACGACAACCAAAATATATTAATATATATTTAACACATTTAACCCGGGTAACATCAATGTGTATAATTTTGACACTCAATTAGAATACTCAAAAATGATGATGTGGAAAACTAAAAATTCTCTTCTGTCACTTTAGTATATTTTATTTGTAAAAATCGAATTCCGTGCTGCAAATAAGGAGCCAAGTTCGTATTTATTTGTGTGCAAATATGGATAATAAAGAATGTGGAAGCACTATCTACATTTGGACTGGTTTCAGATTATATCAGCTTTGGCCCGTCTGCATCATGTACCTTCGAATGATTATACTAGTCGCGATAAGGTCAAAACAGTGGGAAATGCTATGCTGTACCATAAGTGAGCATGTCTTATTTACCTTTATTGTATTTATCACTAGAGAATGTTTTCACGAATTTCGAACTGTTCAGAAGTTATTGGAAGAAGCGGAATGGTAGAAAAATAGCTTCAGAGAAAATAAATTTGCAGGAAAGTGGTTGAAATATGTCCAGAAGCCATCGACTCCTTGTCATGCATTGTACGATATGGCCTGAAAGAGGGAGTCAGTACATCTCACCGTAGTCGCACCGTTCAGGCTTGGCTTAAAGCACAGGAAGCTGTTGCTGAACAAAAGCATTATGATGCAATTTCTCAACTCTCTGGTATACCACCAGGAAACTTAAAGTAAATTTATTTTCCTCTTTCTTACAATTTTAACAATCCTCAACTAATGGAGTTTAAATACTTCCTCCATTCATTTATTTCTTCATTTCTCTCTTCATTCATTCACAGCGTGATAATTATCTAGCCCTTAATCTGGAAATGCATAAAAACCTTGAGTATAATGGGAAGACATCTTACTTGAGTGCTAATTTTTTTTTGATTTTTATACAAGGATTATCAATATTGTATTATCCATTTTCAGGATATTGATTGAATTAGGACGGTTACACTATACTGTTGGGGAGAATCAAAAGGCAGCTGTGTATTTGCGGCGGGCACATCATCTAGATCCTAGTACCTCTTACTCAATGGACATTTTGGCATTTATTTTGGCACAGGTTAGATAAATTACCTACTGCTATCGTGTTGTTTCATGATTGTGTCCCGTGAAGACATGTTTATTTATATTTAAAGTCCAAATAAATTTTCAGGAGCAAAACTATAAAGACTTGGAAAATCTGGCAGCTACTTTGATGGAAGCTCAGGAAACTCCTGAAGCTTGGGTGGCATATGCTTTTCTTGCCAAGTGCCAGAAAAGACACGATAAAGCGCTGTATTTCACAGAGAAGGTATTTTTTTATTTTTGGAGCGAATCCGCTTTGTAGTGAATTTGTTCCTATAGTTCGGTATCTGAATATCAATTCAGGCTTGCAAGTTGGCGGATTGGCACATACATCCAACTGCAATATTACTGAGAGCCCTTATTCTAATGGATAAGAAGAAATTCGACGAGGCCATAGCCGAATTGCGCGATGCTCTTGTTATTCATCCTGCGAACTATACTCTCTACGAAGCTCTGGTCCATGCATTTCTTCTTCAGGAAAAAACTCAGGAGGTTTTTATTTTGATGAATTATTTACTTTGTTGAAGTGTCGTTCATGTCTCTGACATTTTTCAAAGCTTTTGGTCTTGAAAATCTGGTTTAAAATTATTCCTAATTTTCAGAAGTGTTAAGGGTCGAAATATTTGTTTGGTGTAAACTCTGTACCATTTAATATTTGACCGCTACGGGTTTTACTTTTCTATATTATCACGCTAAGCTTTTTGACCACTAGTAATTTTGTCATTCTGAAATTTAAAGGAAAGGCATGACCAAAATTTGTACGATTCAGGCTCGAGTTGTTGCTTGCACATGTCGACACATTCTTGGTCAGGATAATGCTCGAGCACTATACCTTTGTGCTACCTTAGCTGCTAAAGACGAATCGACAGTGAAAGATGCACAGAAACTTCTGGAAAAAGTTGAAATTATTTAAATGACATACTTGCCGTATTCTTTGTCAGTGTAGCTGTGAAAGATTCAATTTTCAGGCAATAGCGATATCTCCTCATTTATTAGATGCTGTATTCCTCCTTGTGGCCCTCTACGACAAAACACAAAGTTATGAGAAAGCGATTACACTACTGAGAAGGCAAACTCAGGTAAAATGTTATTATTGAAAGTTTTCTTTCCTGGCTAACCAACTAGGAAAGGAAGCAATATGGATCCAGCTGCTTATTCATTGGTGTGTTTTACTTACTGAATAATTTCTTTCTAACCAACATAAATTATTCTTTTTCTTTTTTGGTATTTGCTGAGCAATCTTTGCCTTCGGAAAAGTAAGGTACTGTCTTCTATTATTCACCCACTTACTCCTTCCCGTTTCAGACGACTGTGAATAGCCGACTTCATCGTTTACTTGGCGATTTCCTGACCAAAACGAATCGTCCAGTTGATGCGTGCCATCAGTACAGGTTGGAAAGCTATATTAGGTTCATAGTTTTATTTGTAGAGCTTTCATAGCTTTATTTACTCATATTTTATTTGTAGGAAACTTTTATGCAAAGAAATCTGCATATACAGTGTGGAAAACATATATGTAATGAATGAAAAATTTTATTAAGACGATTGGATAAATGCTTCCATTTGTATCAAGATAAAATGAGGAAACAGTGTAAGTAGTAGTAACTGTTGTGTTTTGTGAGCAGTTCTTTTTATAGGGTTGATAATAAGTTTGTTTGCAGATTAGCGGTTGATGGTGATGCGACTGCAGCTAAAGCAATGGATGCATTAGAAATAGTGCCTGGAATGTACACCCCAGAGTCTCTACCATCAGTTATTTGTCGTGGGTCATCACGACGTCGAACTGGACAAGTGTGTCACAATGATCAGACATCAGTTACTGAACGAAACATCTAATAACTATTAAGCATTATTATATTTATTGAGAATATTCTTAAAATTTATTGTTTGTTCTTGTAGATATTGTATAATATTATGCAGTACAACTGTATAGCCGAGTCATCATTTTACTGATAAGGATTGATATATCTGGAGAAAAAAATGTTGCAAGTATTATGAGACTTCAAGCTTGTATTAAGCTTTTATTGGTGGAACAATGGACTATTTTAGGTTTATTGTTCATTCCGATATTACAATTCCGTACATTTTCTGATATATCTGGATTTTATATAATAATGCATTTTAATCGATAGTGCACACAACAGCATATATATATATATATATATATATATATATAACGTGACATATACGTGCAGAGTGATCTGCTAAGCTATACAAATACAAAGCTAAACAGGCTGGATCGGGACATGGATATGGATGCTTTCAAATTTTGATCTGACATTATGGACATACATATTCAGATCGCTGGTACTGACTATATTTCATGGTGGGACAGTCAACGCTTTGGGATACTCGTCCGCATGACTGGAATGGCTCATGCATGCGACAGCTTGGTTGGTTAAACTGATAGGTGATGGGCGCAAGGGACTTTTGTAGGTAGAACGATGTGTCTGCAGCATTGTAAGTGCTATTTCTTTTGTTTTTCATGATTGGTAGACCATTGAGCCGGTGACGTATCTGCGTTTAACATAACTGTATTGCACACTTTTTGCATTTCGCCATATTCTGGCATTTTGCTCTCTTCCCCATTTGTTCAACAGAAGATGTTTTGTATGCGTTTGTGTAATTATATACCCCCTCAGACTCTAGTTTCATTTTCTTTAGAGATAGAATTATACGTGTGGATAGTGACTGAGTGCAGTAAAACTCGAAGGTCGGTCACTTATGTTGGGATGGAGTGTTGATTAAGGTCAGTTATATTCCCAGTCATTTTCTATTTCTGTATGTTGCCTAAAGTTTCTTAAAGGTAGAGTGAGTTGATGGCTTGTAAACAGATACATTTCCAAGAATGATCTGTGAGATTTTGCAATGTTTTATCTCCTCTTTGCCGATATTTTGGAATGGAAGGGAAAGATATTCAAAGCTTTAAAAACAAAAAAAAGCAAATGTTGGGGAGAGATTAAGAGAATGGATAACTCTCCTTCAACAATGATTCAAGGAATTTGTTATGCATTACTGAAGAATGTTTGGTATTCTTGGACGCTTCATATCTTTGTATTTTTAAATTTAGTTGTAGTTTTTTAAAGAACTATTCTCAGGGATTGTAATATCAGTACGATATTTGGTTGGGTAATAAATCACCAGTCTCCTGATCAATAAATATAGTAGAAAATTTGTACTATTATCACTGTTGAAAGTAACCGACTGAAATTTCGACTAAACTTGTTAAAGGAATGCTGTTATATAATATCAATGAATATCATAGAAAATTCGAATAGTCACTGTTGGAAGCAGCAGGTTAAAATTTCGACTAAACTTGTTAAAGAATGACAAAATTGAGTGTGGAAAGAAAGTTACACTCCACGATCTTTACTATGGGTTCTTTGCTTATCATCTGTTGTATCAGAACGTCAACTGCTAGCGGTGTTGGCGCTATGGGTCCTTTGCCTTTTGAACTCTGTGATGATGCCTGAACATTTCTGCATCCCTGCCTACATCAAACAACTGCACTGAATTATCTTCACTCTTTATTACTTGTTCTTTCACAAACCTATAATGGCATCCTTTTCTGACACGGTTTGTTCTTATTTCGTTTTTTATCGTGATTGTTTATAGAATATGAAAAGAGACGCTGAAACCTTCAAACACTTCCAATATGTTAGAATTTCTAGACTTTTATTATGCATTTTCAATTTTCTGTACAACGGTTGCAGAATCTCGATAATAATAGGATATTCATCAAAAAAACCGGAATGGTTAAATTTTTTTGTTCTGCTACTAGAAAAATGCACCTAAATCTCGCAAATATTGCTCTGTAATACATCGGTATTAGCTACTGTATCACTTTGTTGAAAATGTTGTTACATCCGTTGGAGTATATCTTTTCTGAACTTCCCAGTATCAATGATGGCATTGAGATATTCGATGACTGCAGACAACACGAAATTCGACTTCACGACTTCTTTATTACTCAAAAATGGAAATAGAACTAAAAAATTGTTCAGAAAATTAAGTTATTTTGTAAATGAGATGGTGAGACCTTGTAAACCGAAATCGTAGTTCAAAATAAAATCTTCGCATATGCTAATATTGCTAAACTTTTCGTCTTACTCAACCTGAAGTTCCTTCTCTTGTGGTTTGGTATTAAATGGTCCATACTTTCTGCTGAGTTTATTTCTTTGATATTAATCGCAAAGCTTAGAACATGATATTAAGACATTGAAGTTACACAATGCAATGAAAACGCGTTCAACTCTGGACTTCGCCAAACGAGCAGCAGCGTATGCAGCCGGTGAGCAGCATGTGAGAAGTGGTTGTCGGATAGGTGTCGGCAGTGGTACCACGGCTAAATTTTTCGTTGAATTTCTGGCTGAAAAAGTAAACGATGGTACAGTAAAGGATATCATCTGCGTGCCTTCTTCATTCTCAACTCGTCAATGGCTAATCGATTCTGGCCTGGAAGTAATTGATTTGGAGAAAACTCTCGATTTAGATCTGTGTATTGATGGAGCTGACGAAGTGGATGTTAATCTGAATTGTATAAAAGGTAATTGATTTCTCTCACATTTAAAAGGTAACTGAATTCCTTCAGAATGCTGTTGGTCTTGTGCATTTTATTTGCATTTCCATTCCAGTACAAACTGCGTTATGTGTATAAAATGAGAACAGTCATTCTACAAAAATAGTATATGATCCTTCAGGTGGTGGTGGATGCTTAACTCAGGAGAAAATTGTGCAGACAAGTGCTAAGAAGTTTTATATTATTGCTGATGCCAGTAAGCAGTCAGAAAAACTGGGCGATAAGAATTTTCCCATTCCAATTGAAGTCGTTCCATTTGGGTAGGCTTTTCAATACTAGTGCAATTACATTTGTGCACTGCTAAGGTTAGGAAATACATTCGTTCGTCATTGTTATTTTTTTTGATGTGTATTATCCAACCATTCGATATGACTTTCTTGAAGCGGTAATGTGATGAACGATCAACATATTGTTTATGGAGTTAATGAAAATTTGCAAGAGAAGTTTCAGTTTATTCTGTTTGCTGATTAAGTGGGAATGGTTCAAATGATTGACTTAGACGTCCAAGAAATTTTTTTTTGGCTTGTTACTTTCAAAAACATCTCTTGCCAACTTCGTGTTGGTAATCATTGATATTGGCAATCAATATAAGACATGGTGTTAGATCTCACTGTGTTAAAAAAACCGAGATTGACATTTTCGTTTTACAGATATGCGCCTGTTTTGAACTGGATAAAACGCCAGGAAGGTGGTGAGATTGAGTTGAGAACAAACAGTAAAGAGAAGTTGGATCCCTTTATTACGGACAACAATAATTTTATTTTGGATTGGAATTTTCCAAAAAATAAATATGTGACAACGGAGGATCTAGGAGCTTTGCATACACGTCTGATATCATTACCGGGTGTTGTCGAAACGGGTCTTTTTATAGGAGTTGCCGAGAAGGCCTATTTTGCTACTGCCGATGGGAATGTTACAGAAAGGTTGAGACCAGATTCATCTCTCCATTTTTCACGAAATCAGAAATCTTCAGTTTATTGAAATTGAGAAGAACTTAGGCTTTAGTTTGCAGCGTTAGTTTTCGGAAAGAAAAGTATGTTTATCTGAGATTATTTCTATGTGCCGTGCCATTAACTGTCCCTGTGATCATCTCCGTACGTTGAATAAATCTTGAAAATTTGTAGGTTAATTTTGTTGACTTCTTTATATATGGCTGCATTTTCAGAATATTTTTCTTCCTTCTGAAAATAAGAAAATGTCGTTGTACTTGAACTAAATAATCCAAACTGTAGATAGTTTGGTGACTTCAGAAAAGATTAATATTTATTTCATTAAAACTAATATTTGATTGTCATTCAGGATAATTTTTTGGATCAGATTATCATTTCTTGTGCACAGACCAAACACAAATATACAGCCACGTGTTTATGGTGTTTGTTCCCGACATGTCGTAGAGTAGCTTATGTTCTGTTGATTTATGTTATACTCTTTATTAGAGTGGTATCTCCACGCTTCTTAAAATTTCTTTTTTGCTGCATCTTTTTTTTTGTTGCATCTCCGTTTGTGTCTATTGTCCTTATGTAGAGCGCAAAATGATTTGGACCAGATCCATAAATTCTAATTTCTTTACCTATTTTTCTTTCATATTGCATCCTTATACCAAACTTGAAATGTCTATGCCGTTATTATTTGAAATAATGTGAATAATGTGTAAAACATGGCTATTTCCCAGTTTTGCGATTCAACGTTTTCAGGAAGCTGTTATTTTATTATATGCATAAGGAAAAACAATAAATTAAGATGTTTAGATAAAAGCATATCGCCAACAAGCTTTGTGTGACAGCTTTTACTTTTATTTGGTTCCATTTTCTCTATAAGCATTCTTGTCGCATAAATTTATTACTTGTTGGCGTTCATTTTTAAACCAGTTTGTCATCTTGTAAGTCGTATGTATTGCACTTCTGCTTTTCTCCCATTCATAGCGTACACTAAAATGTACAGTAGATTATTTCTTCCTGTTCATCAAATAGCTTAGTAATGTTGAAGGGAAGTTATCTTGTTACTGGAGATTTGAAAGATATAACTATGTGGATTAATCTGTGGTCTTTATCGATTGTAACGGTGGACTCTTTCATTTCTGTTATTTGGTAAATGGCAAAAACTTGCTAACAAGTGAAATTTGGTGGGAAGTCGCAGTAATATTAGCATTAAATACCTATGTATATGCTCCCGAATGATGAATGAGAAATTTCATCATCAAAAAAAATAAAATAAAATGGTAAAGTATATTGTCTTATTCATTTTCTAGAATAAGAAGGAATATATGGTAAATGTGTGGCATATGTGGCATACATGCATATATCTGTTCTTCGCTAGAACTTTGATTTGACCATGTGATGTCTTTTTGAATTTTATGATCCTGATGTAGAGATATTAAAGTTGGAAAATTTGTTCTATCTTGATCAATAACCGTTTATGTGTTTTTAAGAATTGCAGATTGTTCAAGAATCTATGGAGTCCGTCGTGGAGGCCCTTCTGTTCACATTTATTGACCCTCCAAATGTTAAAATATTACCTCCAAGATGGCTGAAAGTTTGTTCCATACTTTTTTGTTAGTATGCATTCGTGATAAATCGGTTTTATTATTGTCACTTTACAGCGAGTCTTCATAGAATAAAGTTGTAACATCATAGGTCTGTTTTCCATCTTTTGAAGTATTTCAGATTTGTTGATCTGTAATGTTGTTTTCAGATGCCTTCGCCGATGCAAGTATTCGCACTAGTGATGATGACTTATTTTTTCGTGACTGGAGGTGTAATCTATGATATTATTAATGAACCTCCAAGCATTGGCAAGTGCATCAGTCTATAACTAATTTTATTTTGTTTTGATTCTCTATACCATTTCTTCCAAATATTATCGTTCCAGGACAAACTACCGATGAGAGAGGCAATGCGAAGCCAGTTGCTATAATGCAGTATCGAGTTAATGGGCAGTATATTATGGAAGGCTTGGCCGCAAGCTTTATGTTTTCTCTAGGCGGTAGTTTTTTTATTATTTACTGGGCTTTGAGATATAATTTTTTTCGTCGGGACATTTTCTGGTTTTTAAATATATAAGCTTTGGTAAAAATGGGTTGCAGAATGGATTTTAGTTTAAAAGCAGTATGGTGTTTCATCATCTGCATTTCAGTCCGTTCTGTCATCATTCTCACTTCTTTCAGGACTTGGTTTTATTATACTGGATAGATGCAACAATCCCCTAACACCTAAGCTGGATCGGATAATGATGTTGGGACTGGGTTTCGCCTGTGTTATTATTGGTTTCTTGGCCACTCGGTTGTTTATGAAAATTAAGATGCCATCTTATTTGCAAGGTATTATTGGCTAGTAGGCGCATTTTCTTTTTATATTCATTTGACCAATTTTTGCAACAGCAAGCTTATTTCTGAATTCTGTTAAAAGCATTTCAATTGTGAACATCTGTCATGCCTCTGAAATTAAAGAGAGATCTTTACTTAGCTTATGCCAGTCTGTGTTAATGGTTGTTTTAAGCAGAGAGACAAATTTTTTTCCTTAAACGGGAAATAGTTTTGAATTTTGCAACATGCAAAGTTTGCTTGCTCGGTTTGTGATTGTAAATCGTTAGATATGAAACGAGGAGTATATGTAATAGTTTATAAAGTCCTCTTGAGTAATTAATCTTATTTGAGAAAACAGTTAGTCCTGAAGCTGGGCATTTCATATGAAGTGCAGTTTTGAAGTTATGCTAACTATTTGAAGTTTTTAAGGGAGCATTATGTGCTAGTAATCAGGGTAATAGTGGTATATAGTCTGTTGCTTACGTGTTCTTGGAGAGATAGTTTGGTAAAGAAAGTGTAAGTGCTGCTGTCTAGAGTTTAGTGTCAGAACTTTAAATTATGAGGATTATCAGGCGACTGAGAGTACCAAAAGTTTTACCGAAAGTATCTGGCGGTCTCTGTGTAACAAGATTCTAATGAGTCGGAAATCCAAGCAACTGCACGAACAAGTTTAACAAAAACATGCAGGTTGATGCTTTTAATATTTCTATACCACCAATCTGGTCTGTATAACAATAGTTCTTTCACTGGTGTATTAAAAAGGTATTGGTATTCACACATCAGCTATAATCAGAGATTTAGGGGAGAAGAAAAATGGATCAGTAGGGTTTGGTTATTCTTTGAAAAACGCTTATATTCGGAAGCTTGTGATCGGAAAATTCAAAATCTAAATTCCAGAATAAATTCAGACATTTGAACAAAATTCAGAATTTCAAAGTTCCAAAGAAAAATTTTTAATTTCTAAAGTTTCGAGAATATGGATTTTTGCCACAAATATACATTAATAAAATGCATTGGTTAAATATACGCAGTATATGAATAAAATCAGAAAATGATTACAAGAATCAATGGAAGGTACAGGTGGCCTCATTAATTAATAGTCTAGTCATGGCCGTATTTTCGAAGCAAAAAATTTGGCTGTTTCTATTGTCTGTAATCTCATCAGTTATTTCGAGACTTAAAAGATAACACATTTTGCATAATATATTCGACACTTCGGATGAATCATCATTTTTTATATTTGGGCAAATGTTTATCACACTTCATAACAACGTTTTTATGGCACGAACTATTGACAAAAAGGAGAATTTATTTTAAACGAACGAACATTTAAACAAATCAAATGATTAGTAATGAAAATGGAAACGAATCTGAGTTCCACTTATAACGGTGTACCAGCAGAGTTACAGTTGATCGTCCTTATTTTCCGAGCCTTATTTGGCTCAGAAAAATGCGTTTCATCATTTTTAAATTTCTAATCGAAGAACCAAAATTTTTTCATCTGAAGATCTATCATCTATTGATGGAAGACGGATCTTATTATGTTCAATTCAGGAAATTTTTGAGTAAAAAAACATTTCAACTCATCAATATTTCAACTGTTAACTCGTGTAAATCTTTCAGTAGATCAAATTGCATTACAAAGATTCAAATTCCATTGCAAAGGTGCTTATTCTCTTAAGTCAAGGGACTATAAATAATTTGCATAAATAGTGCGTCTCGATTCGATTTAAGAAGTATTACGGACAGTAGTAGTCCATGAGTATCACCAGTAGCACAAAATATTAGTAAAACAGTCATTTAACAGCCAATATTACCAGAAGACTGCCAACTAACGACCGACTGACTCTACCGGCGATATCCCAGAGGCGATTAATTATCTTATAACGGATATGATGAATAAATCCTCCGCCAATCAATAAGATCTTTGTCTGTGCTAATCCTCAGCAACAAAAAAAATGCTTGTATGACACAATGTTTTAATGCAAATATGAATTTCTTTTGTAACCATTTGATTAACAAAGAAAATTGTTCAATAGCTTCATTTGTTTCCTCAGCACTCAAAAGCGTACTTCAATTTCAATTTCAACCTTTCATTAATTATTGCATTTTTTATCTTCCAATTTCCTTATCGTCTAATACTTTTAATCTTTTCTTTATATTTACTACTTAAATTTTTTTAGCTTCTTTCTCTCTTCTCAAATAGAATGAAAATTTTTCCATTTCACTCACTTATTTTAATTCTTTATTTCCGAATTTTAATGAAATCTTCCCATTAAGAGACTAATTTCAATTAAATAATGATTTCTTCTTATGCATTTAATTTCTGTGCTAACACTACAATATTTTCATCTTTATCATTTATTTTATCATCAATATTATATATATATATAATATTAAATA